CACAGTGATACACTTCCTCCAGCAAGACCACACCTACTCCAACAAGGCCACACTTCCTAATAGTGGCCCTTTGGGGACCATTTTCCTTCAAACCACCACACTCATCCTACAAAGACCAGCTTATCCTGACTTTATCATTGCATAACCATTTGATTTTCCATTATGTAGTCTCATGGCACTCTCTATATTTGTGTCACGGCACTTAATACAATTCTAATTTAATCATTCTTTCATTGCCGGATGTTATGTTTGCCTGCCCGCTTGTCACTAAGAACCTTGGGGTCAGAAACCATGTCATCTTGGTCCTCATCTTACCAGAGTCTCACAATGTGACTAGCACAGAGAATGCATTCAGTAAATATTTGTTAAATGAATTAATGAATGAATATCATAAGACATTTATCATAACTGCAGTAGTCCTGACTTCCATACGTTTACAGAACTCTGCCTTCCTTCTATCCACAGGGGCTTTGTTGGTTTCAGATGAATAAATTTAGTTCCTCATTTTCATTCCCCATTCTCCCTTTGAAAGCTTTCATATACTCTGTTTATGAGCAATTTTGTTCTTAGCCAATTGACCTCCAACGATTCCATCATGTTATTTGAAGCTTCCCGTCATCTCAGGCAGATTGGCCCCTGCCTGATCTACATTGTTTATCTGTCTCTGGCTGCCTTGCCTCAGCCTTGCCCTTGGTGTCATCTTAATGCATACTTCTAGAAGCACATTGCTGTTCATCAACAGGAGATCACTTAGGCACCTGTGCCCCTCTCTTTTCTTACGTCCCACCCTGCCTTCTTGATGGTTCGATTTATTTTCTAATTTCCCCATTTAGACATAGATTCTGGGCCTACATATTTCCCATTTCTTGAATCTAATCAGTTTGTCTGATGAGCCTGTGAAACAAAGCAAGGAGACAGTACTTAATATGCCGGTACTAATGGTGTTTGGGGAAACTGCTGGGGTCAGCCGTGTGAATTCCCGATGAGAACTGGGGCTCATCAGATGATTCATCATATTCCTCTGCTTAGACCCTTAAAATATTAGTATCCCCTCACATCCTTAGGCAGCTGGTTTATACTCTTAACTCTTATTTATTTTCTCCTTTGTTTTACTGTGGTAGTTATTAGCACTGGGTGTTTAAAACCCCGAAAGTCAGACTGAAGATTTGTTTTCTTGCCTTCGTCTACTTCTCTGCGGAAATGCATGTTTCCTCATGCTAACAGATCTACGAGTCAGCTCAGCAGCCAAAGCTTGCCTCTGATCCTTGGCTAGGAGTCTATAATTTTCTGGTACTTCGTGCCACTCGGACTCCTCCAGGGTGCCCCACCCTGAACACTGTGGAAGAGGAGAGAGAAGGAAGGAGGGGCAAGGAAGAGGAGAAGGAAGACAAATAGGAAGACAAATAAGATGCAGACGAGGACCAGGAAGAGGAAGAGAGAATTGGATCTGTACTTCTTAACCTCTTGAACATGAACTCTCCCACCCCATTGCGACTCTCCTTGCATACTCTGATTAGTCCCTTAACAGCACCTTACTTTTACTTGGCCTCTCTCTTTTCTCGTCTTTCTCTTTGCACATTATTCTCTCTTTCCCCCCTGTTTTCTATCACCTAACATGCCTCCCTAGCCCCTTGGGTGACTGTGGGGATAAGAATGAAATCTCTGATGTGAGAAGACTTGGAAAAGTTAAAAGCGTAGCAGCATGTACAGCAGGATAATGACGGAGATGCAGCTTCTGTTCTCTGAGGCGGCACATTGCACTCCTTCCCCGCACCCCATCACATCCTTCAAAGCCAGCTTTATCTTCATCTTCACACAGGCCTCTTCTCTGGTCTTTCACGCGTCTGTCGCAGGGTCTTGCTTGGATCCTTTCTCCTCTGTCCAAGTACTTGGCTCCGAGAAAATGAGTTCAGCTGCTTCTGTTTGGTGATCAGAAAGCAGCTGTCTGTCCCACCTCTGGCTTCTTCTGCATCCTCTTGTGCATTCAGAATGGCAAGCTCATATAGATTGGGGTAGGCTGCCACAGGTAAGTTCAGAGACGAAGGTTTCATCCACTGTCTTTGCAACCAGATTATCAATATGTTACTTAGGTCTCCCTTCCCGCGATCCTAGCCCAGTTCTCTTGCCTTGGAGAGGCAGTGAAGCATGAGTTAGATTGGCCACGACTGGCCTACAGAGGGCAGTGTGAGGATGGATGCAGTATTGGTTTTTTTGGTGGTGAGAGAACAGTGTGTGTTCATGTGCCAGGGAGTGAGAGGGTGAAGAGGGAGAAAAGTTGAAGATACGAAGAGACAGTACTTAGAGAACAGACTGATGAGCAGAAAGAGGGTTCTATTAAGGGGGGACGTGCACAGGGGGAGATACAATGGCAACCAATTGAAGGGGTTCCTGCCAGAGAGGGGCATAGGAGAGAGGGGAGGGTAAAGTGATTTGCTGGCAATAGAAAGGAGGCCCAAAAACAGAGAGGAGGGATGGCATGGCTAACATCTGAATGCATGAAAAGCTTTTCCAAGAGCATTGAGGCTGAGGGCCATGAGCTTGTGGTAGTACCAATTCACCAAAGGCATTTGTCAATTTTCTCTTTTACTAATGTTTGAGTTCACAAAGAGCTAAAGGTGTCTAAAGATTCCATAATGAAGATGGAGAAGGAAACAGTGGAGCTGAAGATTTTATGAGATCATGGTTCAAATTCAGCATTATTAGATACGTATTAAACTAAGTCAAAGCGGTAAAGGTGAATATAAGGGAAAAAAATGGAGGAGCCAGTAACCTGGCCATTTGATTGAAGGAGAGTCATTGGTGGAGAGGAAATCAGATTGAACCTGGGAGTCAGCTGTGATAGTCTTGAGGCTGCATAAGGATAATAGCTTAGCCATGGCAACAGTTCTCAGTGAGGGGAACATCCTGGGTGCAGCTCTTGGGAGGGGTAGCAGCAATGGGGCCAAGGTAAGTTCTCTACGGTTGAAGAAAATAAGGAGGCATGAAGGCAGATGTTAGCCAACTCATCCATAATGGCATTAATAGCAATGGTGAAACAGGGACCAAATTAAGTCCTTCATAAAAGTCAGTCTCACCAGGAAGCCAGCAGGAAGCACAGAACACGAAAGTTAGTAGCCAAAAGATACATGTACTAAGGGGGGGGGGGGGCTTTTTCTAGCAAGTAGCAAGAGAATTCTAGAAACACATTCCCCTTTCTCAGAACACCATAGGTACATGGCATTTGAGAGTGGGCTCCTGGGATCCTCACAGAGACGGTAGGGAGATGAAGCACCCTAGGAGAAGATAAATGGGGTCTACAGTACTTGCAGGTGACATAGCCATCTAGGGAGATTGACAGGTCAGAAAGAGGAAAGTGGGTCACATACAGTAAGGTGAGAGCATGGAATATTAATACCATGGGAAACTTGCTAATGACCTACGGGGTACCTGTGGGCCTCCCAGCTGTGAATGAAAAGACTCTGAAAGTTCACTTCACACACCACAAGGCTCAGGTCTGATATAGTCAGCTGAGTGTGGAGTAAACAGAGCCCCATCAATTGTCCCCCTTCCTACCACTTACAAGATCCATTTCTTTTCTGTCAGCCTGGATTGATGCAGATTGGTCCGAGCTCGCTCTGCAATACCAGGCTTTGTTTCACCACGACCCCTCCAGTCTGTCGTTTTCCAACTAATCTTTATTAAGCGCCTCTTTCCCCATATCCTTCTCCAGCGAATAAAGGAAATAAATAGGCTCCTTTGTGAACAAAAGAAACATCACGAAAGCCATCTAATAATCCCCGCACCTTTTATCCTGGTGTTTGCTCTGGAATTAGTTGTTTATCTCCCCAGTTCTAAAGCTGACATCAAATGCTTGCCAGCTAGGATTTATCGAATTTAATAAAGGTATTTCTTGGGTTCATCTCAGTCGAATCTATAGTAACTATTTCTCAATATAAAAACTCATCATCCTGCTTGTAGACGGTTGAAGGAGAGTACACACACTTTTTAGTATTTAAAAGAACTATCCAATATAAACTGTTTTCTTTTCAGAGCTTTCTTGCACGAGTATCAAATTATAGCTATAATTTTAGTTCTTCTGGAAGTTAAAAAAAATTTGTACAGCTTTGTAATCTTTTTCTCTTTTTAAAATTATCTTCTCCTTCCTCTATTCTACCTTCCCAGAAAAATTGTTCAATGATTTCTTCATGGTATTACACAGTTTTATGATCTTTTTATGTAAAGAATGACATATACCTTTCCTAAACTTTATTGGATTGTGCTAACAGCTAATGTGTAAACAGAATAGGTCCTCTATATTAAGGTCATTTTTTAGGTTCAATTGTCTTTAGGTTTCAAGAGCAAGTCCATGACATTGGTCTTGCTCCTGTGGTGTGGCTATGATATTATTATTATTATTCTATCTTGTTTCCTACACTACAGCACAATGTAACATTCACACCAAAGCATTCACCCTGTTCTTGTTTTCTCTCTTTTTTCTCTCTGCTTTCTTCCATGCAAGGATAGTGCAAAGCTTTCTATGTCATGTAGATAGTAAAGGAGGAGGCTGATAGAAGGGAAGCCAGGACTGACTGAATTCTGCCCACACCTCCCTGGAAAGTCCCAAAGAAGATTGCATATATTCAGAAGACAAAGAAAACCAGAAGGGAACATAGCCACATGACTGCCTTTTACCTTTTTTATATCAGTCCTTTGTGGAACAATGCTCCGTCTTCAAGTAGGGACTGTGTAAGAGAATGTCAACAACCCCAAACCATTCTTGAGGGTTAGCTGATGAAGCAGGGATAAGGTGATTTGGATGTAGACAACAAATGTTTCCTTTTATCTGAAATTGCACATCGGAAAGATTTAGCCTCTTATGAAGGAGAAAGAAAATATGAGGCTTGGGTCTGGGTCCAGGCATAGCTAGGTTTGAGAGATGACACCTGGGGACAGCTCTTAGGAATAGCAGCACAGATGATTAGACTCAAAAAATGATACTAACAATTCCATGCTTGTTTTAGGAAAGAAACTTGGATATACGTTCAACAATCGGAACTTCCACAACGTGTCGCTGGGGCAAGGACAAGAGGTAGTTGCTGAGGCTGCACTGGACCTGGCAGCCAAGAAAGGTCACTGGGTTATTCTACAGGTACAACCCCTCTGCCCACATCTGGATCACTCTTGCCGTTGTGTCTGTTCAGGCTGCATCCCATAGACTCTGGGCTTCTTGTGCCCTCTGACCCTCTTACCCACCTGTTCCTCCGTAACATTTTCCCCTTGACTTCCTACCTGCTCTAACTCTGCTCAGTCTCACATCCTCTATGACTCTTCTTCCCCACACCTACTCTACCAATATCTTCAAACCATTCTGAGTTCTACTCACTTAAGGAAGTAGATTCCACTCTGATGCATGCTCAAGAAATTAGCATTTGATTAAAGGCCATAGCAGCTGGATACTTTCAGTGGCTGATCTCTTCCTGTGAATGCCATGGCACTGTCCTCTCTGTTCTTTTTTCTGTTGTGTGATAAGTTCTGAGTTACCTTAAGACTAAAAGTTAGCTTCTTCTTTGGGAGCTCATGCTGGGATCTGGAAATGTGGAAACCTACTGCTGTGATTCCACGGAACAAGGGGGAGAGGAAGAGCTACCATCTTTCTCCCGAAGCCTGTCCCCCATGCAGCTCATTTAGAAACTGTGGCTGAGTCAGAAGCAACAGCTTATTATTCTTTTCTCTGAAAGCACTCTGCAGTCAATCCTATCAGGGCCTCCAATGGCGTGTTGACTGATTTGTTATGACATGTTCTTCACCAAATTTCTTTAGAGAAAATGATGTTTCTTATTCACCTTTACCATCAAGATCACTGCCTTAAACTGCAAAGCAAAAGCCTCTGGGAGAGGGGTAGAGAGATGATTAGATGGTTAAGAGTGCTTGATCAGAGGACCAGAGGTCCATTCTAGCACCTATGTCAAGTGGCTGTGACACCTCTTCTGGACTCTGCAGGCACCTGTATGCATATATACATTTCTCTCTCTCTCTCTCTCTCTCTCTCTCTCTCTCTCTCTCTCTCTCTCTCTCTCTCTCTCTCTCTCACACACACACACACACACACACACACACACACACACACACACACCCCACAATAAAGAAATAAATCAATCAATAAATCGTTTTTTAGAAAGCCTATTGGGTATGAGAGGGTAACAAGAGAATAGCAGGGAGGGTAAATATGATTAAAATATATAACATGCATTTTCCAAACCTGTTGGGCAACAGAATTAATGAGGAAAACTAGAGAAAGAATAGCTGCAAGATCCAGTCATCCACCCATCCTGACTTCATTACCAGGAACTTCATCAATCCCGATTACTCCCCCGCATCTTGCTGCTGATTTCTCCTTAATTATCTTCTTATTTATGGGGAACCCGGCAGCTGAGAGATCTGCCATTCCCTGAAACTCCTTTTTCGGGAGCAGTGGGAATCCCAGGAGAAACAGTGCCAACAGCTGGAGGCCCCACTTCCTCCATGTGCTGGGAGATACAATTCCCATGTCGGCCGGCAGACTCATCTGTCCAGCCTGCTCCTGGCCACTGGTGACTAAAGGAACCCAGCCTGCTGCCATGGAAGTCGGAGTCTATTTCTGTGGTTCTGCCTCCAACAAGGTTCCTCAGACAAGGAGCTGAGTTTCCTTCCTTAGCACCCACTGGCCACCCAGCACCCCCACATCTTAAGTTGATGCACTGTCTGTACTCTCTCAGAGTCTGAGCTCAAAGCTCCTCTTTCATCCCTGGTGACAGGCATCTCCAAGGGAAACTTTCTCTGGATGAGAGTGAGCAATCTGAAGGCTCTCCTTTTCCTCTTGAGTGAAATATTGTGAGTGTTGACTAGACATGACAGGTCTGAACTGCAGAGGATGGGTAGAAGAAAAGGACCCCTCAAAACATGTATCTTCCTGAGACTCCTGGATATTCTGGTTTTAATGTTTACCTGGTGTTACCAAGCATGGTGACACACACATGCAACCCCAACAGTCAGGTGGGAGAGGTAGGAGGATCTTGAGTTTGAGGCCAACCTGGGCTACAGATCAGGTTCCAGGCTAGCATGGGCGATGTAGTGAGAACCTCTCTCAACACCCCACCCAAAAAAAGTTCCTGGAAGAGGAAAAACCACGGAAGTCGTTCCTCTTTTAAAACTTGAAAACTGAGAGATAATAACCTTTTTGAGAAGAGTCTGACATCAAGAGTCAAGGGCTTCCGAGAGTTTGTGACACTAAACTCTGATTCTGGTCACTGTTTCCAGTGACTGAGATGATGCCATGACATACTGGGGAAAAACTGCCTGCGCTCCCCATCCAAGAACAGCCAGCGACCTTCCCTAAGAGACCTGGCTTCTTAGGACCTGGGGACCGGCCAAGGCTCAGGAGGTCTCCACTCTTCCTGGCTGTAATAGCTGTGGATTGCATTTCCCCAGTTCTGGACATCCTGGGGATCCTTGAATACTCCCCAGAGTTCCTTCCACAGGAAATGGGTCTTCCTCCCAGCCCCTCCCTACTCTAACATGTCCTGTTCTGCCGGGGACTTGGAGTTCTGAGGTACCTGCAGGATCACTCACTGCTAGCTTGCTGGTATTGCCACCTAACAGGAACGTTGGCTCTCCAGAAAGCCCACTGAACTCTGCTTCGGTCATGTGCTTCTAAATGAATTCCTTAACAAATTTTCATTTCACCCTTTGCTACTGACCTTCACACAGCAGCTTTCAGTACGAAGGGCCCTTTCAAATTCATTGCCTATGGGTCTTTGCAGAAACTCTGAAGTAAGTGTGGCAAGCATAACTGTTCCTTCTCTTTCTATAGAAAAGAAAGCAGCATTCAGAGGCCAAATTACTGTGGTCCTTGTACTGTATTGTGTACTGATCTGTGTATTTAAGGCTCTGCAAGCCTGCTTGCTCAAATATTGATTGAAGAACTTCTATCTGTTCATCATAATGAAATGCTGCAACGATGCCAAAGGACCTGCTTACTAAAGGAAAGGTGCTTTCTCCAAGGCAGTGTGAAGAACTCAGTGCTGGTCTTGGTAAAAGACAGGAGTCAGGTTTGGGAGCAAAAGACAGGCTCAAAAGCTAGACAGACAGAGAAACCTGTGATAAGAGTAGGGACCCTTGCAGGCCTTGGACAGCAGTGTCTCCCTGTGTTTGGGGGAGATCATTTTGGTGGCAATTAGCAAAATGGTTTGCTGAGGAGGAAGCTCGGTAGAGAGAGTTTGTATCAGTGCCTTTCAAACCTGAACATGCATACACCTTACTAGAGGGTCCCATTAACATGTGATGATTCAGTGAGTCTGAGTGGGGCCCTGAGATTCTGTTTCTTCACAGCTCCCAGGTACTGCAGCAATGTTCATCCCTTTTGGTTCTGAAGAGTTCAAATAATCCAGGCACCAGGCATTGGAGAATCCGACTTAAAATATAATTGGATTTTAGACTCAAAGTACAGTCCCTGTACTCACAGTGTGCTATCATCTGGGAGCTTGTTGGAAATACAAATAGCCAGACTCCACTTCAGTGACTGAGTCAGAAGCTATAAGGAAGGGCCAGCAATCAGTGCGCTAAGCTCTCCTCCAGAGGATTCACATTCGGTCAGTCAAGTCTGAGAACACAATGCTAGAAGATTTATGATTATCAAAGGCCAGGGTTCAACTGGGTGATGCTGGGAGGTCACCATTGCTGGTATCCCTAACTCTTTCTGTGTCATGATTTTCAACATTTCTGTCCCTAAGGGCTATGCGTCACATGGCAGCCTGGGTGAACATAAGTCCACTGAAGCCTTTAAAATGTATGTTACAGGTCTAGGGTACAGCTAAGTGAAAAAGTACTAGCCTGGCATGTGTGAGACTTGAAATTAATCCCTAGCACCACCCAGAACTATTAACTGTACACTTAAAAGTGGTTGAGATGGTTTTACATTGTGTATTTTATTGCAATTTTTTAAAAATTACTTCAAGTTAAACCCAAACAATGACAACCCCAATAGTCATGCTAACACCCTTAGACAAAGAACTATAGGTAACTAACCACTGCTGAGAGAGAGAGAGAAATAGGCTTCTCCAGGACAAGCCCCCAGGACCGAGTGGCCAGCCTTGAAATCATGTACATAAGAAGCAATACTAAACAGAGTCGGCAAGTTGTATTTATATGTGTATACATTTGTGAGTGTATATATGTGTGTGTAACAACAACAATCATAGAAAGGAAGTCATGAATTGAGAGGGAGCTAGGGAGGTGGTATGGAAGGGATTGGAAGGAGGGAAAGGAAGGGAGAAATGATGTGATTATATCTTAACTAAAATTTTAAAAAGCTAATGAAAATGAGGTGTCCCCTCTAGCTGTCCACCTGATAACTATTTACTGCTAATCCATGTAAGCACCTGTCTACTTAGGGGTCTTTCCTTCCCAACAGAACATCCACCTGGTGGCCAAGTGGCTCGGTACCCTGGAGAAGAAGCTGGAGGAGCTCAGCAAGGAAAGTCACCCAGACTTCAGGGTCTTCATCAGTGCTGAGCCTGCACCCTCCCCCGATGGCCACATCATTCCCCAAGGCATTCTGGAAAACTCTATTAAGATCACCAATGAGCCCCCGACGGGCATGCATGCCAACTTGCACAAAGCCCTGGACAACTTCACTCAGGTACTGCCTGGGAGGGAAGGGTAAAGAGCACCCCACACCACAAGGGGCCAGTTGAAACCCAATGGGAGAAAAGTGTGTGCCAGGGGCTGCCCATCAGCACTGACCGATGTGGACAAACGTGCACCCTCTGGCACTGACTGCTACCCAGTGCCTACTAAGTATCTCCCAACTCTCTCAGTTCCTAGATATATCTCAAGGCACTGAGGATAGGCCTTTTCTTTCCTTCCTTTCTTTCTTTTTCTTTTTTTCTTTCTTTTTTTTTTTTTTTTTTGTTGTTTTTCGAGATAGGGTTTCTATATGTAGCTTTGTGCCTTTCCTGGGACTCATTTTGTAGCCGAGGCTGGCCTTGAACTCACAGAGATCCGCCTGCCTCTGCCTCCGAAGTGCTAGGATTAAAGGTGTGCGCCGCCACTGCTTGGCTAGGCCTTTTCTTTTGCCAGAAGGGGAAATTTCATGCAAGTCTATTAACTAATGTTTCAAAATGAAAAAGGGCCAGTTGCCATGCTTCTAATTAATGTAAAACATCAGGTCACACACTTATTAGCTAAGCACCCTGTCTTCAAGCAGGAGAATGATGCTCTATTCAGCTATTATCACTGGCTAGCTGTATCCATCCTCAGTATCAAGAGATCAAATAATCTAGGTGTTGGTTAGTAGGAAGCTGGGCTTGGACTGTATCTAAAACTTATAAAGTCTAGATCAGGAGCAGCACCTGGGGACTCAATGGAAATGCAAACCCCCAGGTCCCCACTCCAGAAAATGAGGCTCACACATAGATTTGAGAGCATTGTGCTCTAGAGAGACTCAGAATATCAAGGCACAGGGCTCAGGAATTCCACAGTTCCCATTACTTGGAATCTAGACTCAAGCTGTGGAGGAGTTATTTAAAACATAGTCAAGGAAAAAATAGTGTGTGTGTGTGTGTGTGTGTGTGTGTGTGTGTGTGTGTGTGTGTGTGTGTGTGTGTGTGTGTCTGTGTTTGTGTGTGTGAGAGAGACATGAAAGCCAAGAAAAGAGCAGGGGCCTGTGAAGAGGAAAAAGGGACCCAGGGAGAGGGCAGTGTGGCAGGAGGATATTGGAAAATACAATGATATATGCATACAAAGGTGTCATAATAAGACCTATAATTTTGTTTTCCAACTAAAAAGGTTAATTTTCAGAAAAATCTAAAGCCAGGCCCATGGGTGGCAGTGTTTGCAGCTCAGGCCTCTTCTAGCTTCTCAGGGAGATACCATTTCCGTTCCCTGGGGAACGGAAACACATGAAGGTGTTCATCACAGGAGCGTAGGGGCAAGGGACCATCTTGAAGTCCCAGTGAGCTTTATTAGTATCTACAGAGAAGTTTCTAGGAACTGTCAGAGGGTCTTTCTCTCTGATGTTACCAATGAGTCTCTAGGTTCCAGATATGCTAATACACACGTCACAACCAGGAACTTTAAGTGTGCCATCCCACATAGCAAGTCTGTATTAACCACCTGTGTTACTAGCCCTTTGGGCCTGCTTCAACTTACAATATGGTGAAGACAATGGCAGAGTCTCAAAAGGATTTACTGAACCCCATATTACATCCAGAACATGGAAGTCAGAGTCTGAAGAAGGAAGCTTGCACCAAGGCCTGAGAAGCAAAACTTGTCCATTCTCCTTTTACATGTTCTATCCCTATCCCCCATCCCCCACCCCCCACCCCCTGTCTAGCTCCAACACCCAATATATCACCTGACAGTGAAAAACACCATGAGGAGTTGTAGCATTATTTTAGCTTGATATTTGGGTAAGAAATACCCTGCCCATTGCAAAACAGGATAGAAGCTATGATATTCCCCTAGTCAGGGGCAATTTCTTTAATTTCCCCAGGTAATTAAGCTTAATTAAATTCCTAGGTGCCAAGTACAGAGGTCAGACATCTAAATTTTTCTATCTTTACTATTCCATGTATGGGGAAGGTACATGCTTAAGTCTACATGCAAACAGAGAGTGTGACGAGTGATCCTAATTAATCTTAACAATAAAATCCTGGAGTCAGATATTAAGGAGAAAGCCGAAAGATCAGAGAAGCAGAGCAGCCACCACTGGAAACTTCTTACCTCTAGCCATTGGTGACTTCTTACCTCTCTGGATCATCAGACCAAATAGGGGGCGGGGGAGTGCACGCAGATCCTGTCTCCACCCACCGTATATTCCTGTCTTCACCTCCCTAATGCTGGGATTAAAGGCAGCACACACGCACCACCACCACCCGGCTCTGTTTCTCTCTTTGACTGGTTCAATCTTGTGTAGCTCAGGGTCATCTTGAACTCCTGATCTTCCTGCTTCCTTCTCCCAAGTGCTGGAATTAAAGGTGTGAGCCACCACTGCCTGGTCTCTATGGTTAACTAGAGGCTAGCTCTGTCCTCTGATCTCCAGGCAAGCTTTATTTGTCAGAACATCAACAAAATATCATACAACGAGAGTGCCCTCAGAAGTGTAGGGTTGGACAGCAGCATCAGCACACATAATGCCTGTGAACCATGCATTTAAAATGGCAATGATGGGAAGTTTCATGGTTTGTCTATTTTATACAGTTTTTTGTTTTTTGTTTTGTTTTGTTTTGTTTTGTTTTACTTAGAAGTTGAAGGATAGAGATTGAATCAGTGGTAGGGTACTTACTTCACATGAGCAAGGCTCTGACTTCAATCTTCAGTGCTAGAAGGCGCTGGGAGGGAGGCTGGAAGAGGGTGGAAGTTGTGGTGGGGACCGTCACAGGAGGCAAGTATTAGCATGTACTTAGCTGGCTCTAGACCCAAGGGTCCAGCAGCAAACCATTCTCAGCTGTCCTGCCTTGAGGGTCTTGGACAGTTGAAGACAGTAGATCCTCACCTGCTGTACTTCCTTATCTGGAAATACACCTGGCATCCTTGTCACAGCCAGGCTGTGGGTCATTGACCCTGGGCTTCTTTCCCTGCACTCCTGATGTCCAGTCTTGGATAGTGTGCAAGTGGGAATAAATCCGAAGAGATGTTCTCTCTTCCTGGCTGTTCCGTCCCTGCCTCAAAAGGTTCATTCACAGTTTACAGCCACCTTAAGTAACTCATTCTGAGAAGGACAGATTCATGAGGCTGTTCATTGTTTACAGTGGAGGCTTTCATAAATTCACCCTGCTCCCCCAGAGGCCCACTTTAACCATGTGTGGGATAAATTCCTTGGCCTCCTTTGCATTCCTGCTTCCCTGATACTTATGCTATTTGGGGGTGATTATTTTATTCCAACTCTTATGTGAGTGTTTATCACTGTCAGACTGTCTGGACATTAAAGGCATTTGTGCTTAAAGGCATTTTCCCACAGATTTTTCCCAAAAAAAATGTGTAAGAAGTAACAAAGCATCCTGTAGTTTAGGGAGAATTGCTCTCTCCAGAAAACAGTTTTTAATGTTTCACAAGGCAATATCTTTACCCTCCATACCACCTCTGACCCAGTGAGGGCACCACAGAAATGCCACGTGTTCAGGAGGAGTGTATCCATGGGAACACACGAGTAATATCAGAAGCTCCCACTGCTTCCTCTGTAGCACCTGCTCTGGGTGAACACAGCCTACAAGTGGTTCCTGGAAGAAGCATTGGGCCTGAACGAATCTAGTGATTGGAACCTCGAGAGCACCCTCTTGGCTTTAGCTATCACATCTTGCTCCAAAATGAACAGAAAGAGTCTTACTCATAGAAAATGATTCATTTTTTAATTTCAGAGGATCCAGAGATCGCCTCCCTACTATCCCTTCAAAATGCAGGGTTACCCGTGTCCTCCATCACCTCCATCACCATCCTCCTCCAAGTCCACCAAGTGGGACCTCACAAACTTCCTCTGAAGCAGTGACTGCTTCTTTCCTCCCCTCTCTTGAGTCTTTCTCCCCTTCATCGTGGACCCCATCTTTGCCCCTCCTCATGCTCTGCAGTCACACACCTCTCCATACTGTTTGCTCACCTCCTGTTTGATCTCTCCTGCTCAGGCGATGGGCAGTGAGGAGCGGTGAGGAGCATGGATGGTACAGCATCTCTCATTGCTGTGAGTCTGATTCCCATCCTCTCCTTCATATCAAAAGATCTTCAGTACAGAAGCCAGGGGCCCCTTATCACAGAGATGGAAGGACACATTCTTATTCCATGATGGGCAGGAAAGCATAGTTTAGAGGTAAGGCTGTATGGGTCCCCACCTACCTGGGTCACAGTGACACTGATAGAATGAATGAAACATTCATACCCACAGACCATCTGCTGCTGTCATTAGCAGTGCTCAGGTACCTAAATAGTTAATCCATGTGCACAAAGTTAAATCATAGACCAAATGCACTGTAGCCCAAATATGAACTTTAGCTCAAGTGCCAGACTGAAATTCATCTCTTCTGCATATCAAACTCTTGCCCTACCTCAGTGCGATCACTAGTCCCTTTACTGTGCATCAAACCCTAAACATGGACTACCGTAACCTTATCTAGTGTGAACAGTGATCTTCACCACACCCTCACCTACCTAAGGTAAGAGAAACTGTGTCAGCATTGTTAATGATGCTTCTTTTCCAGGACACTCTGGAAATGTGTTCCCGGGAGACGGAGTTCAAGAGCATCCTCTTTGCTCTCTGTTACTTTCATGCGGTGGTTGCCGAAAGACGGAAGTTCGGGCCGCAGGGATGGAATCGGTCCTACCCTTTTAACACAGGGGACCTCACCATCTCTGTCAGTGTGCTCTACAATTTCCTGGAGGCTAACACAAAGGTATAGCAAAAGGGTTCGGGTGAAGGTCATTATGATGTGGCCTTCCCACACACAAGGGTTGTGTGACATGAGCAAGGTCCAAGACCCCACACAAGTGAGATAAGGAAGTTCCAAGCCCAGGACCAACCTAAGGCTGAGAAGTACTACTGCAAGGTCAGAGCACAGGAAACTGTAGCTAGAGTTTTCCTGCCTGGCCCACAGTCTGGACAAATCTCTGTCACCCACCAGTCCCACAGCCGCTCAGACCCAACCAAGTAGACACAGAGACTTATATTGCTTACAAACTGTATGGCCATGGCAGGCTTCTTGCTAACTGTTCTTATATCTTAAATTAATCCATTTCTATAAATCTATACCTTGCCACGTGACTCGTGGCTTACTGGCATCTTCACATGCTGCTTGTCATGGCGGCGACTGGCAGTGTCTTCCTCCGCCTTCCTGTTCTCTCAATTCTCCTCTCTGTTAGTCCCGCCTATACTTCCTGCCTGGCCACTGGCCAATCAGTGTTTTATTTATTGACCAATCAAAGCACATACAGATCATCCCACAGCAGGAAACAAAGGAACCAAACTGGCAGCCCCATGAGAATCCATCCAAGCGCCCAGACCACCTGTATGTACTAGCAGCATAGCAGGGACTTGTGGATTGACAGAAAGAGACCTCATTATAAGTTCCCAACCCAACTTGATTAGGTAATGGGGCAGAGCTTTCATCAGCACACAGGGCTCTTCCTGTGGATATGGAAGAGCCACAGGGGGTGAAAAGGCAAATTCATACTGTAGCCAGCCTCTTCTTTGTCAAGTCCATTTCAGAGAAACTTCTGCTCACAAAGGCTTCTGTCTAAAGGACTGCTCATACCACCAAGGCTCCTCTTGTCTGAAGCATGAGCAAGTATACCATAGGCTCAAATGCCCTGGGAAGTCCTACCTAAATCCTACCCTGGGTCCTAGGAAGCCCAGCCCCACAGCTTCGCCCCTTTGTTGACTGGCTTGTCTCAAATGCCTTCCCTCCCTCACTCTTACTCCAGGGACCTTCTAAGCTGTGTTTTATTTACTCTGAACTTTCAGAGGGGACAACTGATGCTGTTATTAATGTCAGAAAATCTTAAAAGAGTCATAGTCCTCAGTATTTCCATTTGACACTCATTGCCTATGTAAAGGGCTTCTAGGAAAAGCCTGCTGTAATTCTTCAAGCCTTTAGTGATATCCCCAGGCATGCCTAATACTGCCAGGCTCTGGGGGCACAAGTTTAAAAAGACATCACTTTTAATTTCAGCAAGTATCCAGTTCCAAAGCTCTGTTCTCTTACCTCTGACTCAGGTGCCCTATGATGATTTGCGGTACCTGTTTGGTGAGATCATGTATGGAGGCCATATCACAGATGACTGGGACCGGAGACTCTGCAGGACCTATCTGGAGGAATTCATTAGGCCAGAAATGCTAGAAGGAGAGCTGTCCCTGGCCCCAGGGTTCCCAGTCCCAGGCAACATGGACTACAGTGGTTATCATCAGGTGAAGCACTGCTGTGCTCACAGTGGTGTGATGGTCTCATGGTGTGTGTGTGGGGGGGGGGGCGTCTGTGCCCTGCACAGCTCAGCATGCACATGCTCACACTGGAACAAGACTAGGGGCCAGGAAAGGATGGACAGAAGAGCTGAGCAGATTTCATCCTTGCTCTCTGCCCTGAGCTTGCTTTGCTCAACCCAAGAAGCTCAGGATTTCCAGCCTCAAATTAAAGATGAAATTGAGCCTGGAGATCTTTGTATCCTTGATGTTTGAGTCCATAATTCTATTTGTCAATCTTTTCCACAAATAACACCCAGGGCAGTTATTTACTTGTTTTTATTCAAGATGTTGACAAAGACAATTTGAATAGGGAAAACTCTCAGGTAAGAACTTTGAGACCCTTGCATAAACTTTACCAGTATCTTGATAGAAAATGATCTTGTGTCCAGATCACTTACTCCTCCCATTTCCTGTTGGTTGCTATGGACACAGGCATGTGTACTCACATAAAAGAAAAACATTTTCACTGTGATTTTTTTTACTAGCATTTCAGTTTTTCATGTGCTATTATTGTGTTTATTTTTAAAGCATTCAGCTCTTTTTAACCTACCATGAGAAATCTACTGAAACATCATTTGTGGGGAGGGCAAAAAGATTTTTAGATCTTTAAGCATTCTTCAAAGAACTAAAATTTACTGGAGTTTATACCAAATTTAAGGGAAAAGAGTAGTCATGGAAACTTAAAAAAAGTTTAATTCATAAAACTTAAGAATCATAGTCATAGAAGTCATTTGAGGCAGAAGAGTCATACCTATAAGAAGAAATTCAAAATGAGGAGACTTCTTATGGGAAATAAGAAAGTTCTAACCTCTTTGAGAGCCTTTGCCCAAGATGACAGTGCAAGAGCATCCCCTGGTGTCTGTGGACAATCCACCTGCCAGAGCAGCATCCTTGAGGAGGCTTGCTCCTTGCATCCCACAGTACTAGGACTTGCACATTCCCAAGGGGCTGAGGTACAATCCCTTTCTTGCACTTCCATGGAATCTGCCAGATCAGAGATGGTTTTAGTGTACCTGCCAAGGGCCCAGGAATGGGCTGGAGAAAATGCAAGGATAAAAACCACAAAATTGTCTTTAAAGAATGAACAATATTTAAACTAGTCGGTAACAACACCAAGAGATGGCAAAAGCCACTTGAGGAGCCTAACTTGAGATACAGCTTTTCACCTTTAAAAAAAGAACTGAGACAGGGTGCACAAAGCAGTCAGTGAAGAAAGTGACTTCTATAAACCGGGCAAGAGTCTTGGGCAGTCTAACGTGGCTACCAGAATTAACCAGAGGTGTGTTTAGGTGACACAGTGTTTTAAAATGTTTCAACTCCAATTCCTTTTCTTGGGAATGAGAGTCCTTCAGTTTGTAGCCGAACTGACTACTCCCTCCATCCCAATCTCATGTTTATTTTATATGGAAGTTGTGGGGATCTGGTCTGGTGTGGGAAGAGGATGATGTTAAGAGCCGACTAGAGGAAACTGTGCACAGTGGGTGAAATATATTATGATCCTCCACGAGGGTGTTGGTGCTATGTCCCACAAAGGACCTTGCAGATAGGAGACAAGTTAGTTATGCTTTGGCTGATCTCGCCCTTGGTTTCAGTATATCGATGCTGAGCTGCCCCCTGAGTCTCCCTACCTGTATGGCCTCCACCCAAATGCGGAGATCGGCTTTCTCACCCAGACATCGGAAAAGCTCTTCCGAACGGTGCTGGAGATGCAGCCTCAGGACCACCAAGCTGGAGATGGAGCCGGCATTACAAGGGAAGAAAAGGTGTGTGGTGGGTATTGCCTGAGACAGTTTGGGGATCCCAAGGCTTGCAAGTGGAAGCCTTCTGCTAACAATGTTGGCAGGAAGTCTCTAACATTGCGATTGGCAGATGGTTTTGCCAGCCCAAAGTCAGATTTCATTTGCCTTATCTACTGAAATGAGGGAAGGTCAGGGCTGAGCAGGAAGGGCTTAGAGGCATTGATACCAACTTCTGGATTTTTTTGGGCAAAGTAAATAATGACGCTGCAGTTAGCTGCAAAACACCTCTCCACTCAGCTGCCAACCAGACCCCATCTGGACAGCCACACTTCTCTCAGTGAGAATGACCTCCAGGGCCAGTGTTAATGATCAAAATGCTTCAAGCACAAGGCAGGGAAGTTTCATGAAGCTAGGGAGAAATTATAGAGTAGAAAACAAACTAGGGTGGCTGGCATGTGGGTCTGAGGATAACCAAAGGCAATGTGGAGGAGGGGAGACTTAACATGATATAGGAGAAAGAGAGGTCAGAAGAATGGGCCCACAGAGTGAAACTTCTTGATAATTTTTTTTTCTGAGACCCGTGAATTCTACTTAGAAGAGATGTGTGTCTGCCAGCCCATATGTGTCCACCCCCACGGCACTGCCAGCTCCCTCTAGCTCAGTGGGATTCTCAACCTTCCTAATGCTGCAACCCTTTAATACAGCTCCTCATGTTGTTAATGACCCCCACCATAAAATTATTTCATTGCTACTTCATCACTGTAATTTTGCTACTGTTATGAACTGTAACATAAAAATTTAATGTGGGGCACCTGTGGGGGTCAAGACCCACAGGTTGAGAACCACTGCTCTAATTGTCATTGCCATGTGGCTCCTAAGAAAGCATAAGAAAACAGCCTTGGAAGGTTAGGGTAGAAAAGCTGGGCACTTATCAAACATTCATGCTGCAGGGACTGATTCTGAGAAAGCAAGCTGACAGTGAGGGAGTCAGACTTTTGTGAAAAGTTGGGAGTGATTTCCTTCAAACAGGAGTTATAAAGTTCTAATATGCCTAAGAATGAGCTACAGGGTATAATTCTGAGGATATGTGTAAAGCTCAGTGGTAGAATACTTGCCTGGCATGTACAAAGCCCCTCAGTCTTCAGAACCCGGAAAAAAGAAAAGGGAATTCTAAGTCTTAGCTAGGAGGTAATTGGTTACTGACACATCTCTGTGACCAGAATACCCGACAGAAACAATTTAGAAAGAGTCTGCTTTGGCTGAGGGCTTCAGAGGGATTTCCACTCTTGTGGCATGGAAGGCAGTGTAGACCAGCTCCATGCATGGTGGTGGAAGCATGGGGTAGACACATTCTTCACACCGGAATAGACCATGAGGCAAAGAGAGTATGGTCAGAAGCAGGAGTGAAGAACAGACCTCAGTGGCCTTCTGTCAGCTCGGCCCTACCTACCTACCAAGATCAGCAGCCTTCAAAATGAATCCATGGGGGACATTTCAGATTCAAACCCTGACACGGGGATAGGCCCAGGAGTTGGTACACTAATGATTTTGATGTAGATGAGCATATTAATTGGCCTTTTCAACCACTGCATGTGTCAGATAAAATCAGACAATAAGGGGGAAACAGCGAAGTCACCCAGAAAGAAAAATGCCCCTCTTTCTGACGACAGCCAGGATGTGTAAGTAATGGACAGGAGCCTTCAAGCAAGGTTCAGCTAGCTCCCATCCTGCAGAGCATACATGCAGGTTACTGGGTACATGTCCCATCATGCCTTGTCCACTACTCAGCCATGGAATTGTTTTGCACGTGGTTCCTGTGTTCTTATAGCTCTGCAGGTCGGGAGGAGGAGAATCCAAGCCAGAGCTTGCCTTTCCACCCACAGTCTTGCACTTTGAACCAAGTCTACAGTCATGTTCACACCTCCTCCATGAGGGGAAGCTGGGGTTAGTGTGGCTAGCTGCTGTGAGCCTAGAAGAAAGAGAAAGGCAAGGGTTGGGGAGGTTGGGGAGGAGACCAACAGTGTCTACCATACTGTAACCCATGTGGGTTTCCTTGAGGATGTGGTGCAGTGGGCTCACTGGACAACTTGGCCTAGACCTGCTGCTTGGTCTTGACTATTTTGGGCTGGCAGATCTGCAAATAGCCAGGAGGAGAGCATCCTGTATCTCCTCTGCTAAGACCACTCTAATGAAACTCCACAATCGGGGTAATGTAAACAACAGAAAGTCATGTCCTCATGTACCTAAAAGCTAGAGTCACCGTTAAGGTCCAGGCGGGTGTGATTGTTCCTGAGGCATCCATCACCTCTTTGCTCGCAGTGGCTGCTTCCTCCATTGTGTCCTCATGTGACCTTGTTTTCTTTTTTTGTATGTGCCCAAACCTCCTCTTCCTCACTAATAAGATTGGATTAGGGCCAACCCGAATAGCCCCTTATCATATATCAAATGCAGTCATATTCTGAGATCCTGAGGACTGGGGTTCGACATCAGAACCTGGAGGGGACTCTGATGAGCCAGAGCACTGGTCTCCTCCAGGAGTGCCCGGGGTTACAAGCCCTTCTCCCTGCTGTGGTGATGAAGCAGTTCGGTGCTAAAGGATAGCATTTCTTAGTGCTGAAAAAAACAGCTAGCCATTTGGAGAAAAGTAAACTATTTTCCCTATACTTTGATGAAAGTATAGCTTAAATTTCACACATATTTAAATGCAAAACAAGAAAACCACAAATGCACTGTCAGACCAGTTGTGTGGATGTTTTTATGACCGTACAAGAAGGTATTCTGCAACTTTTTAGAGACCTCAAAATCTAGGAGCACAAAGATTGATACTTTTGACGAATTAAGTTTCTTTAAGGCCTAGAGAGATGGCTTAGAAGTTAAGTGCACTTGCTGCTTGGGTTCAGGTCCCGGCACCCACATCAGGCAGCTCACAACAACCTGTAATTCCAGTTCCAGGGGATCAAAGATAAATATCCAACAAGAAAAGTGATGCTATCTCAGTGACACCTAAGGGAAGCAAAAATGTCATTTTCCATAATGCTAAAGGGTTTCAAATGTGATGATCCACAGCGTGAGACCTAAAAAGGTAGGCCTGTTCATCTCTGTTAGTCAAGGTTGAATTGACAGAACAATTTGACAATAGCTACCCAAGTTCAAAATGTTCATATTTTCCACTCATGATTCTTTTTCTTAGAAATCAGCCACCGAACACACTCAAAAGTACACAGATGATTTTATGATGTATTTTATTTATTTATTGCAGAATTTTTATGGTGTAGAAATGATGAACAGAACAATTACTTACCAACAGAAGGACAATGAATTATGTACGTCAAAACAGCAAAATACACACTTTAAATTAAGAAACCATTCCATATTTAGTGACAGAGGAGTGCACTCAAGATTTATAGGGAAGCCAGCCACAATAGCACACACCTTTAATCCCAGCACTGGGGAGGCAGAGGCAGGCAGATCTCAGTGAGTTCAAGACCAACCTGGTCTACATAGCAAGTTCCAGGCTAGCCAGGGCTACAAAGTAAGACCTTGTTACATTAAGTAAATAAATAATAAAAGATATATAGAGGCAGCTCTGTAGCTGAGTGGTAGAGTGCTTGCCTGGTATGCATAAGATCCTGGGTTCAATCCTCAGTACTGAGAGGGAGAAAAGATTATAAGACGGAGAAAGAAAGATACATGTATAAATACGTGTGTGTGTGTGTGTGTGTGTGTGTGTGTGTGTGTGTGTGTGTGTGTGTAGAGAGAGAGAGAGAAGAGGGAGAGAGACTGATAGGTGTGGTGGATAGATGGGTGATAAATGCATAATCATAATTGTTAGGTGAATGTGGCTAGCTGGCTGGTGACCGAAAAGACAAAGTGTTCTGTACATTGAAGGAAATCTGCACACCCAATTAAATATTGACAGCTTACCAGTACTTTCCCTCTTATAAGAAGAAAAGATAAACCAGAAGGTGGATTTCTAGTAAGTATGTATTACTTTCCCAAAGAGAAGGAAAAGCAAAGGTGTTGACTTATGGAAACGAAATAGCTAATCCCTTGGAACCCACCCCTCCCCTCTGAAGGATCCCTGGGGCTCCCAGAACACAAGAGAGTCTTCCTTTGTCTATGTCCTGCTCCTCCCCATCCACAACTCCTTCTCCAGCCTCCAAACCCCTTCTGATCTGATGAGAAGCAGGAAAGAACTCTGCGTCCCCATCCTCGTGTATTTTGGAGCAATGCCTCTAGACCATCTTTTCATCTCTTTGTGAGTCACAGCCGAACGGCCGCTCACTGATACAGAACTGTTTCTTCAATTCCACTCCAGAGACAGAAATATAATATAAATTTAGCCATTTGTCTTCGGCTCTGGCAGCAGCTTTCAGGTACCATTAAAATTCCATTCTACTTTTTGCTATGACAGCAACCAGAGACCCATTTGGTGTGGGGTGAGAGGCTCTTGACTTTTTTCTTTTTTTTTTTTTTCTACCATCAGCTCTTTTCCTGGGGAATGGATTGTGTGTTAGCAATTCAAGGCAAGGTGAATATTAATCATCCTTTACATTTATATAGTCCTTTAAAGCTTTCAGATGCTGTGCCATCCATCAGTTGGTTTGATTTGATCTTCAAGTCAACCCTGGGAGTTGGGGGAGGGGAGACAGCCAAGACAGACTCTAGTGGATATGTTTGTGGATGAAAACCAGAGGCCTAACTGACTTGCTTGCATCCCATGAGAACTGAGTAAGGAGATGCTTGGGCCCAGTGACCGTGTCCAGAAAGGTGGGGAAGAAATCATTTCTCAAAGGAGATAGAGGCCTGCTGTTGGAGGAAAGGATGGAGACGTTGAAGTTGACGAAGCCCAGGCAGGTGCAAGCCTCTGGAGCTCAGCTCTTAGGACTTGGAAGGGGAGGTGCTTGCTCACCTGCTCCCACTTTCCTGCTCCTTCCAACCTGCTCTGCTGCCCAGCTGGCTACTGTGTGTGCACAGCTTCATCTGTCTTTCTCTGCTAACAAACCTCCTGGGCTTACTCATTTACTCCAAAATGGCCGACTCAGCCTCCACGTGCCTGCCCTCAAATAACCCACCATCTCTGTAGCTCAGTTCCAATTTTCTAGGAGAGAAATCTGGGCTATTCCGGCTCCCCTGGTCTAATTAGCTGCTAGTTTGTGTGGGAAAAGAGATTGTGGGAAGGAGGAGTTTAAGTGATAGATGGCCACGCCTCTTTCAGAATTCACAACTAGAAAACCACAGTATTACCTCCTGGAAATACAGAATAGAGGGAAGTGTGGGGGTGGGATCCCTTAATATCCAGGCCCCTCCCTATGGATGCCAAAGGCCCAAATGCCTTATGTTGATGGCTTAGTATCTGCATATAAGTTATGCACATTCTCTGCTATACATTTATACAGTGCTGGGTCTCATACATGCTAGGCAAGTGCTTTACTGAGGTTCAGTAAAGCATCCATTTCATATACCTTAAATCACCCATAGATTAGCTATAATGTCTAAGGTTGTGCAGTTATACTGTTTATGGAAAAATGGCAAGGTATGTTTGGTTTTTGATCCATGGTTCGCTGGACCTGCGAATGTGGGAACCGCTGACTTGGAAGGCTGCTGATGTGTGCATACGCACCCCCACACACACGTATTTGTCACCATTGCCTATCACTTCAGCTCCATGTGGCCTTCAAGGGGCATCTTAGGTCAAAGTCTTACAGCTTTCCAGTTGAGTGCCTGTAGCTAACTGGGTCGGCCTGTGAGTTTTTCAACCTCAATTCTTAGAAAGGTGTGTTTATCTTTTTAAAGTTACAAGTGATGCAAGTCACAGGGAACTGGCCAGTCTCTGGAGAGGAGTGTCCTGAGGTCACTCCTCAACCCTGCCCTAGCTGATCTAAGCAAGCAAACCGGAGTGTGATGAGTGGACAGGCAGCAGGTGATAGGTGACTGTCATCTAGTGTCCATTACAGGAGGATAGAATCCCCTCGTTGTAAAGAATATTTTCTTAATTCTTTGAGAATTTCATACAATGTATCTTGATCATACTCACCCCCGACTCCTTCCCCTAACTCCAGATTCAGAACTCTCAACTCCATACACCCTCAACTCCATGTCTTCTTTGTAATAATCAACTGAGGGTGGGAGCCGACTTTCTTGATCTTTTGCAAGCAACCACAGCTGCTATTGAGTTTAAAAGTATGACAGTTCTACCGGGTGGTGGTGGCACACGCCTTTGATCCCAGCACTTGGGAGGCAGAGCCAGGCAGATCTCTGTGGGTTTGAGGCCAGCCTGATCTACAGAGCAAGATCTAGGACAGGCACCAAAACTACACAGAGAAATCCTGTCTTGGAAAAAAAAAAAAAAAGTATGACAGTCCTATCATGTCCTGACCCTGCTTTGCTCAGGTCCTCCCCAGCTTCTGGCTATTACAATCTTCCTGCCCCTCTCCTGCAATGATCCCAATTCCTGGGGTGATACAGATGTCCCCTGTGTGACTGAGCACTCCGAGGTCTCTTATTCTCAGCACTTTGACTGGTTTTGAGTTTCTGTGCTAACCCTCATCTACTGCCCAGAGCAACTTCTCTGATGAGGTCGAAGAGCTGCACTAATCTATGGGTAGAGAACTAAAAATTTACAAAGCAGTTTGATACTATATCCATTTAGCAGATTAATAAAAGTAGGACCCTTATACCCCTGGAGCTTCTGAGGTGAACCAGGAGATTATTGGCCAGATTTACCATACCAGGCATGTATTTCCATGGAGTCCCTCCTTAACCTCATATTTTCTGCCATGGAGCAGGTCAAGGCCCTTCTGGAAGAAATATTGGATCGAGTGACAGATGAGTTTAACATCCCAGAGCTGATGGCCAAGGTGGAGGAGCGCACACCCTACATTGTGGTTGCCTTCCAGGAATGTGAACGCATGAACATCCTTACCAGAGAAATCCAGCGCTCACTAAGAGAGCTGCACCTCGGCTTACAGGTGAGCAAGGTCATGAGCGAGAGAAACATTGCCAGAGGACACGGCTGGAACCCACAGGAACAGAGCTGCAGACACCAGGGGCCTGGTGTCTGAAGGGCAACTGTCCCAAAGCCACCTAAATGCCTGAAAGAATCAGCATGGTGCTTGGTCCGTGGTCAGTGGGGTCTTCTATGCCCATGGATAATGACTTACAACTGGCATCTTTAGTAAACGAGTCAGAATCTCTGGCTGGCAGAACAGCTCAGTGATCGAGCTTGCCCAGCATCAGCATATACAAGGTCCTGGATTTGATCCACAGTATCTTAGAAGTGTGTGTGTGTGTGTGTGTGTGTGTGTGTGTGTGTGTGTGTGTCTACTATGCAGAAACTGGTTTTGTGGCTTACAGTGAAAGCTCTAGCTAGGCCCCCAAATTCCAAGTCTGGATTCTACTGGTGCTTCATGCCTAGTTTTTAGAGTTACAAAGTCACAGCCATGTGTGTAAAAACAATTGAATGTCTACATTTAGACGCCTATAGAAAGTACCAAGAAGTGCAAAATCTAGGGTTGTTTGAATTTTTCCTCTTTTAATCACCACCATCCCCCCCCCCACATACATGCGTAATATGGACAGAGGAAAATAATATGAAAGATGAGATGGGAATGCCTGGGCTATGGAGGACAGGCGGTGTTTGACAGCTTTCAAGTTCCATGTCAGCATATAATCAGAGAAATGCAAAATTCGTAGCAGTTTGAAATGTAAACCAGGCCCTTGCCTGTCATATTTCGCATCTCCCGCCCTGGGGAGGCAGGTATAGAGTAGCAATTATCTTGAGTAGGTTTGCTGCAGTCATAACTTATTGAAGCCAGGCAATTTGGTGCAGGCTATTTACCCATTCGACTTCCAATTTGTTCGCTCATTTTTCTTCTAAGAACCTTCACTGTGGCTCTGTGTCGTCAATCATGAGGAATGCCTGGGCAGAGATGGGGAAGCAGTGTGGAGTGTCTCTCCTTTCAGGCTAGTCCCCACAATGTTGATTGATGGGCTCTGTGGGGAAAGATACGAAGAGGCCAAAGAGGAGCCTTCCCTGCCAGGACAGCCTGGTGGAAGGCGGGGTTCATAAACAGAGGCTAGAGGAGGATGCAGACCAAGGCCTATGAGATAAGGGAGGCCCCAGAGCAGAAGCACAGAGTCCTTTGAGGAAAGGTGGATAGGGACAGTTGAGGATAAAAGGACAGAGCCTCTAGAGATCAGAGCAGAGGACCCAGAGCCTGCTCTAAGAGTCCACCTAGACAACAACAGTGTGAGTAAGGTGAACTTCTAGAAGGCGATAGAACAATGACCTAGAGGCTGTGAGGAATCTGTATGACCTGGAGGGTATTTTCCAATCAGAATCCTCTCAGGAAACAGTTTCATGAGGACGGTCCCCAGAGCAGCCTCATAACACATTCTCCCATCTCTGTGTCCGTCCACCAGTCTTGCTGTCCTCCCTGATGACAGTGCCAGGAGACCCTGGGGGCAAGTGCAGCAGCTTCTGAAGTGCAGCAGGAAAGAGGAAAGGCAGAGGATGCCCTCCATGGCAAAAGGAGGCCGAGTTCAGAGCCGGGGTGGCTACAACAGGCGGGCCTCCCCGATGGGCTGGCCATAGAGCACACCAGCACCTGCTGGATGGGAGAGTGGGGAAGTCTGCTTCCAAGTTTGGGGGGGGGGGGGGGGGCTGAGGGGGGCGGGGTCAGGTGACCTGCTGACCCAGCAGGACAGGAAGAGGAAATGCTGCTGCTGACCTTTGTCCTTGACTTCAGTAGTCCCTTTACCACTGGAAGCTGCCGCTAGTTCAATGTAGGAAAAAGTGGGCGTCTCCAGTCCCCCGGCACTTAAGACGAGCCAAATGATGCCCCAAACTGGGCACCACGGTTACAAAATGCCTGACCCTTTGAGTCATTAACCAAACACTCTTAGCCTTTCTGATAAAAATGAACTGACTGACTATAAGATCAGGTTCCCGGAAAGTCCTAGCTGAACTGCCAGACACAGCCCTAAGCCTGGAGCAGCTCAAAGCACACAGAATATGGGTAGGGAAGAAGTCTGGGGAGAAAGCCAGCCGGCCACAGACACGCTCCACAGAGAGGATTTCTCTTGGGAATTCACCACTGTCAGACATCTGGCTCTTGGCCTCCCGAGGTGTTCTCACTCCCATTAGCCAGATGCACAAAAGCCTGAGCTACGGAATTCTTAAATGGTGGTTCGTTATTTTTCACCATTTCTAATTTTCAAAGGAGCATATACTGATAGACTGTTTAGAAACAGTTTACCTCTTCCTACAGAGGTAAACACGAGAATTCAAGTTTTTAGACTTGTCCAGTACAGTAGACACTAATGTAAACGGCACATCCAAGTTCAAAGAAAAAAGACCAAAAACTGTAAAATATCATTAATAATTTATACTGATTGTATATTCTAATATGTGGTATTTTAGGTATATTGCATTAAAAGAAACGTTAGAAAAATTAAACTCACCTGTTTCATGTTTTGAAATGCAGCTGCCAGAAAATCTCGGAACTCCCATGGGTCCCATTTCACTTGGCTAGCCCGGCATCTGGGCATGTCTGGAACTTCTCATTATTCAAATGATTGATGGCCTTGGATTTTTTTTCACTGTGCTTTAGTTTTTCTAAATTTATGCACTTGTTCAAATGCAAAGGCTGGCTTTGGGTCTCGACTCCCACAGACTGTTGACTTCCAGCTCAAGTTGGGAGGGGCGTCATGCTCGGAGCCTTTGATCATCATCCATTCAACAACTACCCAGCCCTGATACCTTTGGCTATTTTGTTCTCTACCAGAGACTAAAATGAGCAAGCCACTGCCAACCTCGGTCTAGAAGCCACAGTGAAAGATGTGAGCCCCTTATTCTACCTCGTGGTGACTTATGTAAATGAAAGCTAGTGGCCACGGGTAATGATGTGTATACGTGTCAGCAATCCCTGCACTCGGTAGGTGAGATTACAAATTCAAGGTCAGCTTTAACTATGTAGTGAGACTTTATTTCCCAACACTAAGGGTTGGAGAGGTAGCTCAGTGGTGTAACACTTACCTAGAATATGTGAAGGCACCAGATTCAAGCCCCAGTCAGCATGGGGCGAGGAAAAGGTAGCAACAAAAAACATTTTCCTGAGAAGAATGGACAGGATCTGACCCTGACCCTCAGCATAGGGTGTGACATGAAGCCCTCAAGGAAGTGTCATCCCCAGCCTGTCCTCTACCCGGACTGATTGCTGCTGTTGCCATGTGACCACAGCCTGATTACTGATGACCTTCCAAAGGGAGGTCTCTGGTCTCACCTGTACCTTCTTCCTTAGCTTTGAGCTGACCGCAGCTCATGAATCTAGCTTCTAACACAATGTGACTCAAAGGAATGCAGCCCTACAGGAAAAATAAGGTTTCCATTCTATTGCACCAAAGGAAGATTATGAAAGCACTTATTTATAGGGACGAGTCAGTGCATAAGGTCACTGACAAGCAGCCTTCATCACACCTGGGAAAGGTGCCACACAGACTGCAGTGGTCTCCCAGTTTCACATCAGTGTGGAAACCAAGGAAGTGTGTCACAGGACCCTGGAACCCAAGGGTGCTGAAGAGATGGAAGAGACAGATTTTTATGTTTTCTTTTCACTGACCCACCCTGTGAGCTGGTAGGCTTAGATATTAACCAGTGCTGCTCAGAGCCAGGCCAGGAAAAGTTAGGAAGCCATTTCCTTTATTGCATCATAATGTTTAAGAAGAGCCGTAATTAAGGGGCTGCTGAAGGCTCAGCCTTTAAGGAAACATGCCGCTCCTGTAGAGGACCCAAGATCGGTTCTCAGCACCTCTGGCAGGCCCCCCGCAGAGACTGCATGCAGGTGTACAAACCTACCCAGACACATTTGCACACAAAATTCAAAAAATGAAAATATTTTTTAAGAGGGACACAGGGACTGGTACCCAGAGTTTAGCCATAGACTCTTCCTGTCCCCCCATAACAGCTTCCATCAACCTGGCAAAATCTTAGGAAACATCTTTTGGTTTGTTTGTTCTGAATAGCTTTCAGGACAGGCTAGCGTGGAGAGTGTCAGTGCTATACTCCCCTAGGCCTACGAAGGCAATGCAGGTACACTTGGTAAATCAGGAAAGGGCCCTGTTGCCTCCAGCTCCTTAAAGACCAACTCTTTCTGCTTCTGCTGTCAAGGTAATGAAAATGCCTGCATCCGGAAACAAAACTGCAAGGCAGCCCCGATTCCTCAGTAGTTCCTGCTTCTGTGGTACAGCGGGGAAACCTAGAAGGCAGCACGCTCTTTTGGTTTCTCTTGCTTGTGCATTCGGTTTAGTCGATGCAAAACTGTTGTCAGAAAAAGTGATACTATAAGCAGATGTGAGAGAAATTTTATGAATTAAGTTACATATTTTATGTTACTTTGCTGTCAAAAGGAGTTTAGATTTCTGAAAGGTGTTAAGAATTAAGTATTGCATTAAAAAATTAGACCTTCTTTTTCTAGCATCGTATTAAAGTTCATAGCAATTACAGATTCGTATCAGGCTAGTCCCACCACACAAAATACTCCTAGCACCCCCCAAGTCTGCATTTATTACAGCTGATGAGCGCACAGTGACACACCCGGAGTCCACAGTTTTCGCTTGGGGATTTCTCTTGGTGTCACCCTTCCTATGGGTTTAGACAGATAAATCTCAGCACATAGCCACAATCATAGTTCCATGCTGCCTAGTGTCACTGCTGTTTACATTTGTGTGACGGGGAGGTGTGTCTGTGTGGATGTGTGTGTTGGGGATATATACGCACAAGCATATGGAGACCACAGATCAACTGAGAATGACCTTGTTCCTCAGGAACCATTCATCTTGTTCGGGTCTCTCATTGGCCTGGAACTCACCAATTACACAAGGTTAGATGGCCAGTGAGTCTTCACCTCCCCAGCACTGGGACTAAAAAGCACATACCACCATGCCTGGCTATTTTACAGGGGATCTGGGGAATAGACCTCAGGTCCTCATGCTTGCTTGGCAAACATTTTTGCCAACTAAGCTATCTCCCCAGGCCACGGCACTTATTATTTTAATAGTAAGCACATCATTTCTTAAACAAAACTCAGACTTGGCTTCAGGCTTCACTGAAGCCTAGCAACAGAGGATTGTCAACTTGTCCCAGGGAGATAACCAGAAACAAATGACTTCTCTTTACAAGCAAAGGACAGGTACTGTCTCAAGTCGCAAATGACCTATGAATTTGTCTCACTCTGACACAGTCCTCAAAGTAGGACCACCAGAGGACCAGGGCATTTTCATCATACTTCACCACTACCAGTAGTCTGTGTCCTGAAGACTTAAGAATCCTGTGGGCTTACAGTATGGGACAAAGCCAAGACTTCCTCATGCACAGTAAATAACTTCCATAGACAAACCCAAACTTGATAAAGCTCAGAAGAGTTTTGTGGAGAAGCAAACTTAACCCTATCATTCCCAGGCATGGTGCTGTACACCTGCAATCCCAGCACTTGAGAGGCTGAGGCAGAAGGAATGTGAGTTGGAGACCAGCCTTGGTTATGAAATTTTTTACACACACTTATTTTTTCTTGATAGCTCTGTGATACTGTCTTTTTGTAGTAATTTATTACTTTGTACATATCCTTTTTAACCAGATTAGCAAGCAAATTGTGACATTATAGGCATATTAAGGTTTTTTGTTTGTTTGTTTGTTTGTTTGTTTGTTTGTCAAGACAGGGTTTCTCTGTGCAGCCCTGGCTGTCCTGGAACTCACTCTGTAGACCAGGCTGCCCTCGAACTCAGCTCTGTCTGCCTTTGCTTTCTGAGTGCTGGGATTAAAGGCATGTGCCATCACTGCCAGCTTAAACTTTTTTTTTTTAAAGCTGTAACATAAGGTTTGTAATATGCCCTGGAAAAGGTACATGATTCTACAGTTTCCATCAATAGGAAACACAGCCTTCCCATCTATGGGGATTACTCTGAGAACCCAACTTAATACCCAGTCTCATTATCCTCTACACCTCGGCTGTGAAGAACAGACTTGGACATCAGCTCTGCCTGTCTGTCTGTCCTTGGCCCCTTTACTCATATTCATGTTGCAAAGAGTTCACAAATGCTCTTAGAATCAAGGAAAGTCAGCTAAATTTTACCCCTCTCCCCAGTCACAGATCCAGGACTTCCCACAGTCAGCGTCCTGCTCTGCCCCTTTCTCTGCTGCCTGACTTCCTTACCCTCACCCGGAAGTCGACAGTAAGACCAAGCAAAAGGCCTGAGTATTGAGGCTTCTACGCTGCTAGGGACATCCATGCCTGCCAGGCCACGTGTAACTGTGGGGCACGTGAAATACAGCCAACAGGACTTAGGTGTGAGCCTGTAAAAAAGGCTGCTGAATTTGCTAGACCTACTGTGGCAGCCTTCAGTACGTAGGCCCAGTGATTCCTGTAGGAGTCCCCCTCAGTCATCTGTGCTGCCCCAGCCTCATGGAGCAGCAATGCATTGTGGCAGCAGCCTTCTCTTTGATTGCTGCCACTGTGAAGTGGGCAGCAGTGGGCACCAGGCATGTTCTCAAGCACCAGTCTTGACGGGACAAGCAAACACAAGACAGGACCGCACTAGTAGCCCCCACAACTGGAGTCAGCTCCTAGCTATCTATGAGTCAAAGGACGCAGAGACCAGTATTTCCCGAGACTTCTGCCTCCTTACTCTTTGTCCCCCTACTCTCGGTCTTTAGGGAGAGCTGACCATGACCAGCGAGATGGAAAACTTACAGAATGCCCTGTACCTAGATGTGGTTCCAGAATCCTGGGCCAGGCGAGCCTACCCTTCCACGGCAGGCCTGGCGGCCTGGTTTCTGGACCTGCTTAACAGGATCAAAGAGTTGGAGGCCTGGACAGGCGACTTCTCGATGCCCTCAACTGTGTGGCTCACAGGCTTCTTCAACCCCCAGTCCTTCCTGACTGCCATTATGCAGTCCATGGCCCGCAAGAATGAATGGCCACTAGACCAGATGGCCCTGCAATGTGACGTGACGAAGAAGAACAGAGAGGAGTTCCGGAGCCCCCCTCGGGAAGGGGCCTACATCTATGGCCTCTTCATGGAAGGTGCCTGCTGGGACACACAGGTATAGTCCGGGGACAAGCTGAAGGACACCTTGGGGCAGGCTGGATGACAAGCACGCTGACTGCCCAGTGCGGTGCTCTGGAATCTTTTTACCTAGGTACACTTTCTCTCGAGACTATTTTTACCCAGCCGAGAATGGTGCCAGAGCAAAGGCTCTGGAGAGGGAGTGTGCAACCACACTAGCGGGATCTGACCTCAGCACCACCATTTACTAACCATGTGGCTGCGGTCTAGTGTTTCCTCTCAAGAGTCCCATTAACCAAACTGTTCAATGGGAGAAGAGCCGCTGTGGAAATCCAATGGGTTACTACAGGAGAACTGGACTGTATCTGGCACATAGACAGCAGATGATGCTATAGAACTGATGGTAACTGGTAAAGGGCACTGCATTTCCTTCTGGAGCGATGAACCTAATCTGAAACCAGTATGGTGTTATTAATCTCTAGGAACACCTAATCATATGCTTTAAAGGGGCTGGCATTATGGTATGTTAAGAAGTCTGCGCTTGCCCTGCTCCTCCTCAGCATGAACATTCTGTCCTGAGGACCACTGAGAGCATCACTGTTCACTGTTCTGTCGCCCACCATGCCTTCCATCAGCCACAGAGAACTAGAAAGACAAATCCTTTCAATACATTTCACAAAAACAAACCAAACTGTCCTGTCCACAACAAAAGCGGGTCAGGGTCATGTGGGTAAAGGGGCCAGCATTACCAAAGACCACACGTGGTAAAGAAGTGTCCTGTGGTCCTGGAGAGTTGGGGAAGCAGCAGGTTAAAGAGTTAAATGTCTTCTGAACTCTACAAAAATGTCCTCTTCAGTGTGCTTGCTGTAAGTCCAAATTTATTTGGCTAACGACTCTTTTGCTCCTGGGAATATAGCTTATAATCAGTAGAAACTTTATAGCTCATGATACAGTGGTCCTAGGTAATTCTATCAAGGCATCTCAGAAGACCGTAAGACAGCCCCATCTGAAAAGTTACAAACTGTCCTACACTATCCCTTGTCCCCAATTAAAGAAAAAAATGTACCTCCTCCAGAAAGTTGCAAACAAAGGAACAATTAAAACAGTAGATTTATGCTGAACAAATAGAAGTTTTGAAAGTAGGAGACAGTTTCCACTGTGGGTTAATAGGAGAACCTCTCACAGAAGCAGGGCTGGCTGGCTGAGCTCTGCTGGCACTGAAGTGGCTCTCTTCACCTTCCTGTTCTCAGGCTGCGGTCATCACAGAGGCAAAGCTGAAGGACCTGACACCCCCCATGCCTGTGATGTTCCTCAAGGCCATCCCAGCAGATAAGCAAGACTGCCGAAGTGCCTACGCTTGTCCTGTGTACAAGACTTGTCAGCGGGGACCCACCTACGTGTGGACTTTCAACCTGAAGACTAAAGAAAACCCGTCCAAGTGGGTGCTAGCCGGTGTCGCCTTGCTTCTCCAGATTTAGCATCTTGCAGAGCCCTTGGGAGAACAAAGGAGGGTGGCTGGCGGCTCCCTGATAGGGAAGTAGGTGAGGGTAATGGCAGATTTTTAATGAAGAAATCATAGGCTCCAACCTTCTGTAGAATTTCTCTGGGGGACTTGGGGTGCCTGGAGTGAGGCTGAGATGGAAAGTCGGCCCAGGAATAATGGGAGAACTCTGTAGTAGTGAGTTTTTACTAATAAAATGATTTATTCTTCAACTCTTCTAAGAATTGTTGAGTCATAAATAATGAAGAGACCAAGAGAATCAAGCTGAGAATGAACTCTGCCCATTACACAGTACAATCCTGGACCTCAGGGCTCTAGCTCCCGGATACCTCAAGCACATAGGCAGTGCCCATCAGTCAGAATTTCTATCATCGCTGTTTGAAAACATTAATATTTCTCTGTACAGAGTCAGAGAATAAGCACTAAAAGCTTTGCAAGCCAGTCTTGGCTAGACACCTATGTGGCCACTGCAGCCCAAAGCAGCCTAGACAACAGGGAAACCAGTGGGTGTGGCTGCATTCCAGTAAGACTCACAAACACCTCTGTCATGGCAGCTGTTATATGACACCTGTCAGTGATTTGTGATTAAGTCATACATCTACTAAATAATGTTTTTACTTACTCTTTGATGAGGCTACAACTGTGAGCATGTAAGTGGATCCTGTTAGTGCTGTTCTGAACACTACTTGTGAGAGACCCAAGAAGAAACTTATCCCATAAAGCTACTCACCTGAAACTTTCCAGATTTCCCACTGTAGAAATGTCCACTGGAAACGAAGTGGTCTGCAGTTTTGATGGTGTTCCACAAAGCTCTGCGAGGTGACTTTGGTAAGGAAGGTCAGGGTGAGCGGGAATCACTCTTCCTTCCTACCCTTGCAGCACTTGAATTCCATTTAGATAGTGGTTTATGAACTAGAGCAGGCACCAGAAGCCCCCGGAGGACTGGGTAAAGCACAGCTGGAGGCCCACCCTGCGGAATTCTGACTAGACTTGCTAAGATTTAAGAAAGAAATAGGATGGGGGGCTCTCTAGGGATGGGGGGAAGGAGGCAAATCTGGAAGATGGAGGGAAGTGGACAAAACAACAATAAGGATGCCTGAAAAGGCCATGAGGAATCATACCATTATAAAAAAAAAAAAACTATAATACACATAATTCTGTGTATAGATATGCATATATAGTTTGGATGAACTTTTCTCATCTGAACAAATAGTGCTTCCTCCAAGAGTCAAAGATTACCAAAAATCCCAACACCAGACATGAGAAGCTGTCTTTTGAGTTATCCAAAAGACTCAAAACATATAGCCTATTGCTGTTGCTCCTGGTTCCCCCTCCCCAACCCCCCACTCACCCCCCCACAGAGGTGGAAGGTTAAGTTCCTGTTGCAGACACCATGCACTGCAGAAGTAGGGCCCAAAGACCCCTGAGCTGGAACTGACCTGAACACCCCCTCCCCGAGAACTATTTTTCATGGTACCAGAAGGCACCATGCCAGCTTCTAAAGGAGAGAGGCAACCAACAGGCCTACAGCTACGACACCTAAGAACCACATCAACTACCAGCACGGCACAAGAACCCTATGGGTGTAATAGTAGCACACATACCTTGGCAGTAATCAACAGCCCTCTAATTGGACTTAAGATCTGCTCAACAAGAGGGAGACTAGATAACTACTAGACTAGATAACTACTAACTAACTAGCTTACTACTCAGTGCTAGTGGAGTCACGGTCATCGAAGGAAAATCTACAACCAGTAATTTACTAAACCAGAATAATCCCTAACAACAACTATACAGTTGTCCTTATACGCAGATAAGGGTAGCCTTCACCCCTCACCAAGGAAAAGTCTTTGCAACAGACAGAGACCACTACAGAAAACCACAACCAATCACAATACTGAACTGTGGAGCCCAGTCCCATCGGATACATCTATAAAACACTCCCACAGCTAAGGCTCAGGGAACGCTGGGTCAAGGGGAAGAAAATCTTTTAAGAGCCAGACCAGGGAGTTGCTGTAAGACTACGTCTCCTAGGAATGTCAGAAGCTACACCTATAAAGTCTTACCAACGTGACTACTCAAATGTGAGCTAAACAAGGATACCAACAAACATGCCAAGCTGGAAGGAGAGGAGTCCACAACGCCTCAACCTTAAACAAAGAACTATAGGCAACTGAGTAACTACAAAGACAAACGGGCAGGTTAGACATCTATGTTAATAAAGTCCTAGGCAGTATTAAAAACTAGATGATACTATTGATTTCTTCCTAACACCCTACAGGCAAAATAAGGTAATAAAGAATGTTTTAAAACATACTCTAGCAAAAACAGCAGTCCAGGAAGAGTGCCAGGATAGAGAGCGGACAGCTGAGGCATGTGATCTAATGGAAGACAGACTCAAAAAAGGCTCATCACAGACAGACTTACCTGAGATAAAGGTGTGCACTTTCCAGTTACTTTCTGCTACATATAAATGTGATAGGTTTCTATGAGATTTATATTGAGGTCCTGGAGCTCAATTCCCAAGTGCGCTCTTCTGTGAAAATGGTATGCTCAGAACTGATAGTTGACACACAGTGAACACAAGAGATACAAGGAAGATAGAGCCCAACTCAGCTCAGTTTATTTCAAATAAGGACAGTTAAACAAGAACTTTGTCACCTGTCTGACAAAGACAGCATGCACTCAGGCCTCCCTACCTCCCCTTCTGCAACAGCCAGCCTGCTCTAGAACCACAGTTCTAAAGCTGATCCCAGGCTCTCACTGCCAGCAGCAGTCATGGCCATACCAGTTAGGCCCTTGTCAGAAAGAGCTACTAAAGGCATTATCTACATGACATGTCTAAGGGGTCAAAAGTAAGAAGAGACAGCTGAAAAAGAAAGACTGGTTTCTTTTCCTGGTGCAAAAGGAAAAACTAAACCAATAAATCACACTCAGAACAACATCCCATCCATGTCAAAACAGTGCTCAGCTCCTCTCCCTCCAACCTGCAGAGAGGAGGAGAGGTCCTTCCTGGTCGCAGTCCCTCCAGGCAGAGCTGAGCAGGGCTGTAATGGACGGGCAGGCTGGGTGGGGGTGTGGCTATGGGCATGGCTTCTTCCCCAAGTGTGATTTCTGATGCTTGTCAAGGCTGGAGCTCCAGCTGAAACGCTTGCCGCAATGGGTACATTTATAAGGTTTCTCACCTGTGTGAACCCTTTGATGTCTATTGAAGTTTGACCTCTGAATAAACCTTTTCTCACAGATGGGGCATTTGAAGGGTTTCTCTCCTGTGTGGATTTTCTCGTGGTAGCGCAAGCCTGACAAGTCACTGAAGCCTTTCCCACAGTGGTCACATTTGCAGGGCTTCTCTCCCGTGTGAGTTCTCTGATGTTTCACAAAGTCTGAGCTGCGCAGAAAGGCTTTTTTGCAAATGGGGCAATGAAAGTATGTCTCTCCGGTATGAGTCCTTTGGTGAAAAACAAGCTGTGAATTCCTATAGAAAGTTTTCCCACAGTCTCTGCAAGTGGGCAGTTTCTGGGCCATGGGAGCTCTGGCCTGGCCCTTCTGAGAGGCCTCTCTCTTCTCCTCCAGCCACAAGGCAGACAGCTCTCCCGAAGAAGAGCTCTGTATGTGCTGACCTAGCTGTTTCCCAGCGTCCCTTTCAGGAGGAAAGAGCTGCCCCCCTGTTCCCTCACCAGGCAGGCTTTCCAGAGCCTCAGGGACATTCTCTGCTCCAAAGCGATGCAGCTCACTCTCACCGAGGAAATCCAAGGCAGTCTGTGGCGGTGCCTCACCTGATGCCTGACAGAAAACATCCAGAGCCCCCTGGTCCCTGTGATTTTCCAAGTTTAGGTTCTCTTTGTCATTTTCTTGTCTGTCTTCTGGAAGGAAAAAGAAGGTTTAAGTGGCAGAAACAGTCATTTCCTCTTCTCCAGCTGATGCAAAGATGGCACCAGGCCATCTTCTTCCTGTTCACTGAGAGGGTCACCGGGTACCTGAGCACTACAGATTCCCTTTACCTGTGCTGGGTGCAAGGCTCACCTGGCTCTGGACTGAGCCACTCTGAACACCACAGGCTCCTAATGGACTTTTCTGACCCCTCCAAAAGCAAGTGGCATATACTTACAAAAAACAAATATGTTATATGCAAGCCATGCTTGTTAAGATGGTTGGTTTTCTTTTTAAGATTTATTTTTATGATTTTTAATTACGTGTATTGAGTATGTTTGTGCATACACGGATATGGGTGTAGGTACTCACACAGGAGCTGGTGTCACAGACATCTGTGAGCCACCTGACATGTATGCTGGGAACCAAACTCAGGTCCTCTGTAAGAGCAACACACATGCTCCCAACTGCTGAGCCATCCCTCCAGCTCCAAGATTCTTATTTGATTGTATATAAAAGGTAAACATAATTTAAAAGAATTTAGAAAGGGAAAATAAACATACATGAGAAAACCAAACAACCCCAACAGCACTACCAAACATGACTACATATGTCTTCTTCCAGTTTTTGCTTTGAGACAGGGTCTCACTTTATGGTCCTGGCTAGCCTGAAACTTTCGTAGATCAGACTGGCCTCAAATTCGGAGATCCACCTGCCCATTTTCTGATCAATACTTTAAAGGAATTCCTCAGAGGACAACTGCTATACTTATGGCATGAACACTACTGTTCTTTTTTAAAAAAAATTGTTCTTAGATTTGATTTTATGTGTGTCTGAGTGTGTGTATGTGCATCACATATACACAGGAGCCTACATAGATCAGAAGAGGGTCTCAGATCCTTCGGAACTGGGGTTACAGATGGTTGTGAGCTGTATGTAGATACTGGGAATCAAACCCAGGGCTTCTATGTGAGCAGCAAGAGTCCTTAACCACTGAGCCATCTCTCCAGCCCCAAGGTCCTTAACAGCTACTGGCAATTTAATTTCCAGAAGGACTCTCTCACCCTCTAGTATGTTGTTAAGCAGGGGGAAATGGGGATGGGGCTAATAAATACTTGAGTATTGAATGGTTTATATATATATATGCTATTTAGACCACTAAAAAATGGATTTTTGTTATTTTAAATGTTAATTCCCCAGTGATGAAAAGATGAATCTTTTTTTCCCCACCACATCTGGGAGCTATTTTTCATATTCCAGGACTGCTGTCCAAATCTTACTGAGAAAGTAATTTGTTCTCATCAACTTGCTTTCTAACTTTCTCTATATTAAGAAAAATAATATAGACCATCATTTATCTATCAAGTTCACAAAAATGTTTTATACCAATTTAGTTGCAGTAATTTTGTTTGGAGTAATTTTTACGTATAGATTTTTTTCCTTTATAAGTATGGATATCTGTTAATCTTTTCCTCAAAGATTTTTTATTGCCTCTATGCTTAGAAAAATGTTTCCAATTCAAACAGATGTAAATATCCACTCATTTTCTTGTTTGTGTCTACTTTACACATTATCTTTTTAAAATCAATTTCTAACTTATGTTGTTTAAGCAACAACAGACAAACTGAAGAGTCTCCCCCAGCGCTTCCTTACCGCCCTGCACAGAGAAGCAGCTCCTGCCCCCTGCCCCTCCCCCAGCTGTGGCTCCTCCATCAGAAGTGAACCAGACAGCCCAGCTCTTCCTGGGCTCCTTTCCTAGTGACACTCATGACGAATCTTCGAGCTTTTCTTGCCACTCTACCCTGCTGTTAAGATATCTACTTAGGAATCACTTAACTGTTTTTGTTGGTGGTAGTTTGGTTTTTTGTTTTTGTTTTTGTTTTTTAATCCCTTGGGAGTCTGATTACAAATACAGATCTGCTTTTCCTCTAACTGTCCTTCCATGTGGTCAAAGAAAAGAGCATTTCTCTCTTGTGACTTCTGTAGCTGGTTTAACTACACGTCTGGCGGTCTGATCAACAGCTGCATTTTCCAAGTGGCCCTTTCCTATCTTGTCCCTGTAGCTTTAGCCCCAGTTCAGTCTCTTCCTGTGTGGCTGGACCCCCACTTCGGCTCTACACACAGGCTTCTCTCTCCAAGTGTTCTCTTCCCATCTGTCCACATCACCACCAAGTTAATCTTTCCACACTTCCTTCTACTACCCTTTCTCTCAATTCTATCTCTAGCTATAAAGACAGGATTGTGTATTCAAGGCAGAACTAATGGGGCCAAGTCAGCAAGAGGGATGGATAAAAAAAAAAAACTGTACAAAACAGAAACAGTTTGGGATATAGTAAGCTGATTATCACAAAATCCTATTGCTACAAGGTATAGGCAAGCTCTGTCCTTTACTTATTTTTATTGGGAATATAAAACTGCACCAAAAAAACAGTATCATGTAATAGTAGTAGTAATAATAATAATAACAATAATAGGCTCAGCGCATAAGACCACTTACTGCTTTTGCAGAGGACCTGGGCTCTGGTGGAGCAATCGATTTTAAACTATTTCATGTCAGCAGAGAAGAGTGGTGAGACAAGCTGGAAGATGATGCTTCGTGAGTGTCACCTAGGAAAGGAGCTCAGGAAGAGCTGGGCTATCTGGTTCACTTAGTGGGATTAATATTGTAATATTTAAAATGTTTAAATTTTGTGTATGTGGGTATTTTGCCTGCATATGTCTGTGTACCATGTGTATATGTGGTGTTTAAGGAGGCCAGAAAAGGCCATCAGATTCCCTGGAAGTGGAGTTACAGACAGTTAGTGAGTTGCCATGTGGGTGCTAAGAACAGAACCTAGCAATATATATTGCTTCAAATTAAAATCGTAACTGGATATAATGTGTGCTTTGCATGTGTAAGAGCTGGCTTGAGATTGGTGAATACCCTAACTGTCTTCATAGAGCCTTCAGCCAGTATCTAATGGAAGCAGACCCAGAGATCCACAACCAAGCACCATGTCGAGCTCCAGGAGTCAAATTGAAGACATGGAAGAGGGATTATATGAAGAAGGTGGGGTCAAGAATATGATGGGGAAATCTACAGAGACAACTGAACCAAGCTCTTGGGAACTCATGAACTCTAGACTGACAGCTGTGGAACCTGCATGGGACCAGACTAGACCCTCTGCATACGGGAGAAAGTTGTGTAGCTTGATCTGTTTGAGGAGCCCCTGGCAGTGTAATCAGGATCTATCCCTGGTGCATGAGCTGGCTTCCCGGACCCCATTACCTATGGTCGGACACTTTGCTCACCCTTGATGCAGTGGGGAGGGGCTTCGTCCTGCCTCAATTGAGTGTACCAGGTTTAGCTGCCCCCGCCCATGGGAGAACTTACCCTTTTTGGAGGAGGAGATGGGGGGAGGGGGAGTGAAGCCCAGGGTAGGGATGTGGGAAGAGGCATGAGAGGGGATCTATGATTGGTAAGTAAAATGAATTTAGAAAAATTTTTAAAAAATACATACAAATAAAAAAGAAAAGAGCTGGCTTGACTCCCAGCACTCCCCCCAAAAAATTGATAATAAAGTCATATCTATCAGTTGTTATCTGTAATACGTTAGCAAAGGAAAATAATTAGACTCGATTGGGGAAAGGGTAATTTGTCACACAATTTCCACCTGAAGTCCTTTTCCTTCTCCAAGTTCTAGAATTCAGTGGGCATGTGTGTACACATGGGTGTACGTGAGTGAACTGGTACACTTTCTAGGACAGACATGGTTTAGAAAGAGCATCCAGGGCAAAGGAGTGCACAGCACAGTACATTCAGATTTATTCCCAGTCTTCAAACACATCAAGAACCAATTGCTGCTGCTATTTAATGAAGGTTAGGTACCCAAAGAATACATCAAACATTTTTCTGTTGGTTTATTTTCTTATGGTAGGTGGTTACTACTGATTATGAGTACAGTAAGAAAAGTTTAGTTCTGGGCCAGCAAGATGGTTCAGTGGGTAACAGCGCTTGCCACACAAGCCACATGACCTGAGTTTGATCCCTAGAACCCACAAAAAGGTGAAAGAAGATTACATGAAGCTAGCCTCTGGCCTCTACACACATGCATTGGCAAAGTATGCCCCTACACACAAATTAAAAACATAGATTAATAATAAAATTTAAAAAAAAAAATCCCAAAACAGTAATTTCTCTGAATTTTTCCTGTTGGTGATGATAATAATGGCTATTACAAAGTGTCTTTTAAGGGAATTCTAACTACCTGTATTGGCCTCATTTTGTCTGAGTGTGAATTCTCTCTGAGAAGGAAAACTATCCAACCAGACAAGACTGAAAGCAGATCCAACCTGTGCTCTTCCTTTTATGGTTAAATAAATATGCCAGCATTCCTGTAGGGATCGACTAGGAAACTCAACTTTGGCGTTCGAGCCCGATCACAGTTAGCTATAATGAATGGAAACAATTCTGTCCCCACTACCTCCTATCTCATGTGAGGAGGTCAGAAATGGCTGGAGACCAATGAAGCCCACTGACCTTTGCAGGTGAGTCTTGGTATCTTCTCACTGACATGAAGGTGCAGCCCTGCAAGCTCTTCCCCATATTCTGCTACGTTAGTCAGCTCAGGTTTGGAGTTGGAAATACCTGCTACCAAGAGAGATACATTTTGTGGGCTTAGGTGAACAGAACCTCTGGGAGCTCAAAGTGTGTCTTTTAAAAAAGAACCCTAGACTTGGAGACAGTGACCCCCCTGAGAACTAAATGATAGGAACATATCGTGAATGCCATGAAAACAATAATCTAGACAGGTGACCGCAGGCATCTGGGGACCCCTGGCAGGCTGGTGCAAGGATCAGGACAGGGACTCCACCAGCTCCGAGTTTAGGCAACTTAGTAAAGGAGAGCACAGACTCAAGACCCATCACAACTGACTCCACCCCACCCCAACCTGGGAGCTGTGGAAGAGGGAGCAAGTCCTTGGTCTGATGCTACTTCCAGCACCTTTAAAAGAGGAAAGCCATGGCTGGGTGTGGTGGCGCACGCCTTTAATCCCAGCACTCAGGAGGCAGAGACAGGTGGGTCTCTGTGAGTTCAAGGCAACCTGGTCTACAGAGCGAGTTCCAGGACTACAAAGACTGTCTCAAAAAGGGAAAAATAAGGGGTTGCGGGTGGGGGAGACCATCACCATGCCCATTTATTTCATAAATTAAAGGTATTACTGAATGTAGCACACTCACACAGTTCCTGACAAACCGAACACTTTCAATATTGGGACATTCCTACTTATCAGCCTGCTATCTCTAACTTATCAAGTTCCTACAGTAGCATCAATTATTCTCTTTACCCACAAACCCTGAGCAGGTCTCTAGAAATGCACAGAAAATACCTAATACTTTCCCACTCTTTTCATCTCCTCCTACAAGTGGGCCCATGCCCTCACCTCCTGAGACCATTTTCCCATAGGTCTCCAGCATGAAATCCCAGTACTGTTCTTTCTGAGTGGTATCCAGGTTTCTCCACTGCTCCTAGAAAAAAAAACAAAGTATCATTCCAATGAAGGCAGCACAGAATGCTGAGAGGAAGGAATGTGCCACAGACTCTGGTCAACAGGAGACCTAAGAACTCACAGGAACACAGGTCGAGAACAGAAAACCAAAGGGAAGATGACAGGCTTCACATCAGCAGCTCTTGCCTGGTTTAGGCACTAGGGGTTTACATTTGGGGGGGTTTTATGCTGCATGTATTTAGGAGTGAAGAGTGCTACCACATAGGCTGATCCCTGTTCGTATCTCTTTCAAGAGCTGCAGTGATGCTCTTGTGACACTGAGGACCTGCTAAGCCCACTGTTGGAAACCTAGACAGTCCAGAGAGAAAAGAAAGACATGAAAAGGGAATTAGTGGGGAAAAGCAAGCATAAATGACTGAAAAGGTAGGAAAAGTCAACAATGAAGTCAACTGCAAAACCTGATTCTTCAACAAAAGCTGGTGGCTTCAAAAGCATCAGGTGTGCAGCTGCATCTGGACTCTCAATGGTTCACAGAAGGACTAACATGAAGTTGGTTTGATTCTCAGTGCTTCTGAGCAAAGTGTTCCCCTGTTACCCAAAGCCTCTCTTCTTCTCTTCAACTGCAGGCTTAAGTCCCCAAACTAGAAAGGCCACCCACCCCACATCCATCCACCTTTCAAACTGAAATTTCAGCCTCCCCATGAGAAGCTGCCAACAGCAACCCAGAGTGACTAGCAGCACACTCTGTGGAGTCATACATACCGAACCCCAAGTCCCAGACTGGCCACTTTCTAGCGGGGTGACTTTGAACAAGTTACTTAACCTTCTGGAGTCTTGGTCCTCACCTGCTATTAGCACTGAACTCAACAATTTGTTGGGAGGTTTGAAAGAAATAATACAAGTAGTACCACTGTTACAACAGGACACAGCACTTCTCACCCTCAGCTCTAAAGCAAGTCTGCCATCTAGTGTCAGGAATGTCTCCAGGAGCGACACCAGAGTCTTAAATTAGAACATGCTCAGAGTGGGGGGGAGAGCGAGAGGGGAAGAGAATATTTTGGTATTAAAAACATCAGAACACTCAAAAGTTCTCTCAATATACATACCTAACTATATTTTATATACAAAATTTAATTTGAACTTATTATTTTGTTACTGTTCAACAAATGAAATTCCTAGAAACAGCCAGTCTGAGTAAACATTGCTGAATGCAAGAGTCCTTTGTTGGAACACACAAGACTCCATTTTGGTGCTGGCAGGTAACAGGACGCCACACAAACGCCTGACAGAATGCAGCTTTGCTGGACACTGGGTGTCCTCCATGACACGCAGCAGCTGCAGCCATGTGCGGTGTCAAGCAGAAGAGTACAAGCACCGAACGCTCCAGCAGTCACCCTCGGCCCACAGGCTGCCCAGGGCAGGGGACTGGGCTGCTCAACAGCGCACCTCTGGCTGAAAACCTCGCACTCCACGAATGCCAAGAAGCCGAAGCTTGAATGCAACCCCCACTAGAGATGCAAGATACCAGCAGCCACCGCCTTTCCCTTTGGAAACCCAAGGCCCTGCTCTGGAGGACACAGGCAGGCAGGCAAGTGTGCGGATGGGGAATCACGTTCCTGTGTGGAAAGAGCACCCCCTTGTGGACTTGAGAGCTATGCCACCTTCAACTCAGTGTAGGCAGGAGTCCTACCCTTTCAGAGTTTCTGATGATAATAAAGTACTGTGTAGGGGTAGTCACACCCTTTCAGTATTCTGATGCAATTAGCAAAATTCCTAATTTATAGACAAGACTAGAGGAAGGAGTTATTTATATTTAAACTTCCCTTCATTTTCAAAGGATTCCATTAAATACAAATGTTTTGCTAAGGCAGAAAATGGATGACTTGTTTGCTTTAGTGCTTGGTAAGTGATTGTCAGTTAACACAGGCACTGTATGTGGGTATAACTGCCAATCAGCTAATACAAGCACTGTACATGTTTATAGGTACCAATCAGCCAATACAGGCACTGTACATGTTTATAGGTACCAATTGGCTAACAAAGGCACTGCATATGTGTGCAGCCACCAGGTGGCTCATACAGGTACTCTATGTGTATACAATCACCAATCACCTAATACAGGCACTGTGTATATGTAACTACCAATAATTAACAGTGCTGATTAGCGTTTTGAATATTTGGTTAGTGTTTAATTTTGTGAGTGGCCTCAAATTCTAATCCCATTGCCTCAGGTTTCTGAGTGCTAGAATTACAGGCAAGTATCACCATGCTCAGCTTTGAACTTTCAAGTTATCAAAAACAGGTTATAGTTGGTGTCTGCGCTGTTTTAAATATATTAATCAATTCTCTGGGACTGTCCCTATATACTCCAGAAACAATAATCCTTTTATAAAGTGATAAAGACAGCTTGGTACTATCATAAAAATAGATAGACCAAAGGCACAGAATAGAGGACTTGGACATAAGATGACAACGCTACACACACTTAAGTTTTGACTATGGAGGCAAAAAGTTACACTGGAAAAAAGACAGCTGATCAACAAATTGTGCGGGCAAAACCAGTTATCCATCTGAAGAATGAAATTAGATCCTTATCTTTTCACATTGTACAAAAATCAACTCAAAAATGGGCAGAAGACCTTAATTTAAACCCTTAAATGCTGAACTTCTAGAAGAAAACATAGGGACTACTCTTCAAGACACTGGGGTAGGCAAGAACTTTCTGAATAGAACACCAACAGCACAGGAACTGGCAGTAACAAAGAGGACCAAGTGTCAACAGATGGACCACATGAATATCAAAACCCGCACAGCAAAGGAAGTAAGCAGAACACACAGCCCATGGAATGGGAGAAAAACCTTTATCAACTACACTTCAGACAGGGGCCAATAGCAGAATTTACAAAGAATTGCAGAAATTAAATATCACGGAATGAAAATACCACTAAACAAAAAGGAATTAATAGACAGTTTTCAAATGAACCTTAGCCCTAAGTAGCAGGCTTCTCTAGTACTGTGCAATCCTCCCATACCACATTTTCACATCTCTGGTTTGTTACCCATTGTCAACTGCAGACTGAGAGCATCAAATGGAACTTTCCAGAATTAATTCCTAGGTTTTAAACTGTACACTATTCTTTCACTTATAATTTGTCTGCTTGTTTGTTGTTTTTCAAGACAGCTTCTTCAGTACAATTCAGTCTGTCCTGAAACTCACTATGGAGTTTAAGTTGGCCTAGAACCTACAACTCTCCCCCTTCATTCTTTAAAGTGCTAGAATTACAGGTGTGCTGCCACAGCCAGCAGCTGTGTGTCATCTGTGGACAGGCTGTGAGTCACTGATTGGGCAGCGTATCCACCCTGCATACGCTACCCACCCACTTGTCATTTGGCAGCTGTTTGCTCAGACTCGCTGTTGCAGCATCACAGTGTTGTTCAACTGGCCCTTATTTTACTTCACAGAGGCCCCTTAACAGAAGTGCAAAAGATGGTGGGCATGCTAGAGAGGAGCCATGAAGTACTTACTGGGTGGAAAATTAAAACAGTCTCTACTCAATAAGAAAAAAAAGCCATACACAGAGGCTGCTGAGACCTGTAGTAAGAGGGAGTCTTCTCCCCATAAGATGGTGAAAAAGAAAGAAAAATGAAGGCTAGTAATGTTGCGAAGTATTCGTCTTCACTGTGAAGATGTGTCTTTGCCAAGGCGTCTTCTGATTGGTCTAATAAAGGGCTGAATGGTCAGTAGCTAGGCAGGAAGAGGTGGGAAGGAGCTTCCTGGTGACCTTGGTCTCTTGAGTAGGCTTGGCACAGGGAGGTACAGCTCTTTTAAGAGGCTCTGCTGTGCAGCTGAGCACTGGAGCAGCCAGCACTGGGTGCACATGCCTGCTGCAGACAGATACAACACATTCTCAGAGATGGGGCAGGTAAACGGCACTCTGGGGCCCATACTGGCCAGCATGAGGCTAGACTCTCAGGAAACCAAGGCGGGCAGAGTCAGGCACAGCAGAGTGCCTAGCCACCCTAACAGTTTTTAAGCTTTGGCTACGTGGTTAGAGAATACAGACTCAGGAAAAAAAAAAAAAAAAAAGCAGTCAGGTCTAGGCCAAGAAAACCTCTGAACAGGTTACAATGTGCTTAGGTGCTAAAGAAAGAAAAAAAAAATGGATACAGACAGTCATAAAAATAAATAGTTTAAAAATAATAAAATAAAGTCTTTAAAGAAAGAGTAAAGTAATATAAAAAAATCCATGTAAGAATGGGAAATACACAGGGTGCCCGGGATCCTGTATGTTGCTTTGTTGACTTTAAATTTTTTAATGCTGATGAACGAACGGCAGCTGCTGAGGGACATTAGATTGTGGAAGGAACTGCTGAATTGCTAGCTTGTACACTTTAGGGATGATTTTGCTTCCACAGGAAATAAAAAGCTATGGATTCCTTCAAAATTAATAAAGATCATATTTGACCAGGGAAGATCTCCTAAAGATTTTGGCTGCAGACTTGAGGGAGGAAGGCAGGAAAAACTACAGGACAGGTGACATGTATGCTGATCCCTCTACATGGGAACAGCTCTGAGACTGGTTGAAACATGATCAATCTTGTTGGCTACAGAATCCTCATGACTTATTATTACATGCCATCCTTTCATATGGCATGGATAGAAGTTTGGTTGTAGAGTCCAAACAGACTTATAAAGTTAACAGATGTCTTTTACCTGCTCAAACATAAAACAAAAAATCATCTTTAGCTGATTTGTGCACACCACACATTCCATACCTGTGTTAATACAGATATATATGCTACCTTTACAACTTCATGTTTTCTGAAAAAAAGAATCAGACACCAATGAAGAAGACAAGTAGCCCAGGTGATCCAGACTCAAAATGCCTCTACTACAGTTTCCTCAAAATTCTGAATCCAGAACAGCTTCAAAGCTGCTAGCTCAGATGGATCAGCCTCGCATACTACTCCAGCCAGGACTTCAGATAAGCCCCGCATGTTCCCATTACACAAAGTCTGGACAACAAATGTTACAGCTAGTTTCCCCAGGACTTGACCATTATCTCAATTTTCTCAGGGTACCCTAAAGATCCTCCTGCCCCCAGACAACAGGAAGCAGACTAGAGAACATTATGCCCACATTCCCAAGAGGTGCACTGTATGGTTTCTGGTCATACAGTGGATGTTCATCACTTTTTTTTGGAGGGGAGGCGTTGCAAGCTGTTACTCATCATGGTAAAAAAAATAACAAAGGAGGTTGGATTTCTTTCTGAAAAGAAAGGGGGGATATAGTATATTGATACAAATTTAAGGCTACTTTTGTTATATATAGTGTATATAAGTTTCTACTCTTGTTTAAGATATTGTACCTATACAACCCATTTAAAAATGTAATGTAAAGTTCTAGTCCTTGAAAGCTATTATGACATTTGAAAGCCATTATTACAAACTGTTTAGGATAATTAATAAACACAAGTTAGTAGTTAGTCATGTAAAAGTCAAATTTGTAGCCATGTTAGGTATGTTTTTTTTTTTTTTTTTTTTTTTTTTGGTTTTTCGAGACAGGGTTTCTCTGTGTAGCTTTGCGCCTTTCCTGGAACTCACTTGGTAGTCCAGGCTGGCCTCGAACTCACAGAGATCCGCCTGGCTCTGCCTCCCGAGTGCTGGGATTAAAGGCGTGCGCCACCACCGCCCGGCAATGTTTTTAAGGTCATATGTTTTAGATAGATAGGTGGTCTTCAAACACTTTAAAGACCTACAGAATATGGCATTTAAGACGTTTTAATAACACAAGGCTTTTCATAACAGTGAGACATGTCTGCTCCTGGCAGCACCGATATACTTCAAAAGAGGATGATGGGCAATGAAGAACCTCCATATGGAATTTGCTTTCATTGTGGCAAAGTTAGCCACTGGGCAAGAAACTGGCCTTGCCTCAACTGCTGACAGTATGTTGTCCAATTTGGACAAGCAAGACACAAAAGATGACTGCCAAACTTTGCCAAGACAAGGTAGGACAGACCTTCAAATTTCCTGCTTCACAGAAAAGTCTGTCAGATATTCTAGGCCTGTAGGCAGAAGATGGATGCCCCAACATTGCAGAGGAACCTTGAGTGACTGTCCAGGCAGCCAGATGTCTCTGTTGTTTCTATAGTTTTGGAAGTTGCTTGCTCTGCCTTTTCTGTTTACTCAGGTAATATTTACCCTTTTCAGGTCTCTGATGGGGTTGAAGACTAGATAGCTACAGTTACAGATTTCCTTGTTACCAAATTCAGAAAAGAAACTCACAAACGAGGTATAAAATGTATAAAGTTGAGACACATAAAAGCTTAAATTGTTTATCTAAAGAAATGTTTTGAGGTCTGAAAAGACAGTTTTGGGTTGGTAATACAAGTTAGGATAGAAAGCGAATTAGGTACAAAACTTTTGACTCACCAAGATAAGATAGATAACGGAGTACTTTCTCTGAATTTGCCAAATGCAAATGAATTGGACATTGTAAATGTAATTATTACCTGATAATTGTTCTCAGTGTATAAAGTTTTACTATGTTAGAGTTAAACCCTTTCCTTTTTATTTAGACAAAAAGGGGGAAATGTTGTAGAATATTTGTGTCTTTGCCAAGGTGCCTTTTGATTGGTTTAATAAAGAGCTGAATGGCCAATAACTAGGCAGGAGAAGGTTAGGTGAGACTTCCAAGAACAGAGGGGACTCTGGGAAGAAGAAAGGCAGGATCACCAGCTAGACACAGAGGAAACAGGAGATGCAAGATGGAAGAAAGCTAATGCCACGTGGCAGGACACAGATTAATATAAATGGGTTCATTTAAGTTAAGAGCTAGTTGAGACAAGCCTAAGCTAAAGGCCAAGCTTTCATAATTAATAAGTCTCCATGTCTTATTTGTGAGCTAATGGCCCAAAGAAAGGTATGACTACAGAAGTTTTGCTGTTACACTATGAACTGTGAAGTTATGGCCAGAGTGGGTGACAGCACTATCGTCCACCTCACTCCATGTCGTCACACAGGCCTGTGTCATCTGACATCAGCACAAAAGGTGAGTACACTGTTACATGGTAAGACATGGTGACACAGGAAACCATACTCGTGTAACTCTCATTACAGTGTGCCGTTATAATTATTCCATTATTATAGGTAAATGTTAATCTCTTACCTTTCATAACTTACAAATTAATCTTTATCAGGGGACTGATGGGATAGGAAAACCCCAGTCTATGTACAGGGTGTGCAGTGTTATCCGTGGTTTCAGATCTCCACCAGGGTCTATGAAATCACACACACACACACACACACACACACACACACACACGAAAGAAAAAATCTGGCCAAACTAAAACAAACTTTGTCCAAATAACTGCATCCCTGATCAAAGCCCAAGAATATTTATAAAAAAACAAAGATACCCAGCAACTTCTCAAGATATAACTCAGCAGTAGATGTCATTGAGCATGCATGAAGACCTGGGTGCCACCCCGGAATGGACAACACAAAACCAATGAGAAAACATTAAAAACAAAACAAATAAACAAACAAAAAAAACCCAGGAAATAATACATTACATACAAGGAAAAGGAAGATGAATTTTTGATAAAGTTCCATTTTACATAAAATTCTAGAAAATATAAACAAATGTGTGCTAACAGAAGGTAGTTAGTAGGTATGAATGCCTGGGGTACAAAAAAAATGACAAGAGACAAAAATTCAAGTAAGAGTGGCTGGACAGACAGCACAGCCATTAAGAGCACTAGATACTCTTCCCTAGGACCTGGGTTCAATTCCCAGGATCCACATGGTGGCTCACAGCCATCTGTAACTAGAGTTCCTAGGGAATCTGCCCTCTTCTGACTTCCTTGGGCACCAGGTATGCACCTGGCACACACCAGGCAAAACATCCATACACATGAAAAAAATTTTTTAAATTTTTTAAATTAAAAGGCAACTTGAATGTGATAGAGATGTATTCTTGATTGTGCTTGTGTTTTAGGGCTGCATATGTACATCAAAACTTACCAAACTATATATTTTGAGTATGTGCAGTCTATCAACAATACTCCCATGATGTTAGAGAGGAAAAGACTAACTTGTCACACGTGAGAAATAACCATTCCAAGTTTCTAACAAACCCGTGTGGGTATCTCATACTAGGAAATGAAAAGCCCTTTCTTAGCATAGGCTCAAAGTAGTAGTAGTAGTAGTAGTAGTAGTAGTAGTAGTAGTAGTAGTAGCAGCAGCAGTAGCAGTAGTAGTAGCAGCAGCAGTAGCAGTAGTAATAATAATAATAATAATAATAATAATCAGAAACTACCATATTTGGGCAAAGACTTCCCAGCAACTTGCACCTTTTCCCAGAGGCCAGATCCCATCAGTCAAGATGACTAACTAGCGATGCAGGGACTCAACTCGGGGCATGGCTGCATAACAGCTGCAGTGTGTGTGGACCGAGCCTCATCTCCTCATTCTCCTCTTCTGAGTCTGTGGCCACATCGATCCTGAACTAGGGGAAGAAAGGCAGAGGACCCAGCTCACCTGATGTACTGCTGGGAGAAATGCTGTTCCCATGTCCTGGTCTCTGACAGGCCTCTCCTCTGGTCTGGCTGGAAGTTGGGAAGCAGCCAGAGCTGTGGCAAAGAACAGGCTTTCAGAATGAAGATGTTCCCTTAACCACTTCCCAAGGGGCACTATGAATTCTTCACAAATTATAACAATTTGTGGTGTCAATTGAATTCAAAGGTTTGTATTTACCTCCTAACAACTACAACCCCCTCCAAACTTCCAAACAGTTTTACCCATGTTTCTCCCAGCATCCTCCAAAGAACCAAAACCCAAATGGTGTGGCCCAATCACAGAATGGTTTAAAATACAGACCTAGGTCATTTCCACACTTTCCAGAGGCACTATATAGTTTCAGCGTACACTTAACCCTACTAACCACAATGCCCCAAATTTCTCCCAGAGAGCACCACGTAGCACAAAGGATTACTGCCCCTCACCTAACTCTGGCTCCATGTCTGATTCCTCCTTCACACCATGGCTCAGCAGCTCTGCAGGAGCTGAGGGTGAATTCTGAAGGGGCAGGTCCGGAGGCACCACTTCCAGTCTGGGATCTAGCTCACTGCCTTGGCAGTGTGCTGAGTTTGCCTTCTCGGACGAGATCTCTTGTCCTAGAACTTGGATGCCAATCTGGACACCAAACAGTGTTAATTAGAAAAGGATACAGAGTTGAGGTTGCTGACAGTTAGTGGAACTGGCCTTCTACAACAGACCATCAGACAGATAATCTTATGGCCATAGGGCAAAGAAAGGAGAAAACCCTTTCTTAACCCAGAAAAAGGACCAGAAGCTGAGGCCTGAACCAGGTCTGGGAGACCTTCAACTCACACCACTAATATGTTCTCCTGGACAGCCTCCAATGATTAAAACTCAAGGCCACCGTTTAGTAAACAGAAATTTCTTAGGTGGTGTGGGGAGATGTCTAAGTCACAAAACTAAGTAAGATATGAGGAGACCCAGATTTAATATAAGCAGCACATACTGTAGTCTCTGTTTTCTGTTCTGAGAACTCCCTGAACCCTTGTTGTTTCAGAACAGGAATTTTCCATTAGGCCTAATGCAGACTTTTCACCCACCTCGGAGGCCATGCTGGGAAGCCAGCTCTTGGTGGCCCTAAAATAGCTTCAGGATGGGGCCTGGTTGCCACGTGAGCATACCATGGGATTCCAGGCTTAAGACTTTCAGCGGACCCCACCCCCAAGGGAGAGGGACCAGGAACATCCAACCACTGATGGCAAATGAGTTAAGCAACTGTGCTAGAACGGTGAAACCCCCGGACAAATGTCTAAACAGTGGGGCTTCTGGAGCTGCCAGCTGGTGAACTCACCGAGGTTCTGATGGGGTGGCACCCTGGGAGAGGACTTGTTTGCTCCTGAGTTTTACTCTACACAATAAACTGCCAACAGTAATGACATCACTTTCCTGAGTCCTGTAGTCACTAATCATCAAATCTGACAGCCAGTTTGTTAAGACATCTGCTCTGTGGCATTTGTGAGTGGCATCTGAAGTGCAAGAGCAGCTGTGCAGCCAGGCTCTGGACCTGTATAGACAGTTGTCAGAACTGGACTGACTTGCTAATGCTCGGTTTGTATCAGAGAATCCACGGACTGGTTATTGGTTTGGAAACCCTACATATTTGCAGTTGGAAGAACTATCAGGAAAAAAAAGAAGAAAAGATAATGAGCAGAGAAGCTCCAGAGGAACCTGGGCTTAACTCAGAGACAAGATACTATGCTTACCCACTGCCATAGTCTCCGAGGATCTCCCTTCAAGCTTTCCACGAGGGTCACTGCCTCTTCTCCACTGCCTGGACACTGTTCCCTCACCCACATCTGGATCTCCCCAGGAAGAATGGTCAGAAACTGTTCCAGCATGAGGATCTCCAGGATCTGCTCTTTGGTGTGAACCTCTGGCCGCAGCCACTGGAAACAGAGCTTCCGAAGTTGTCTCAGGGTCTCCTGGGGCCCGGACATCACTTGGTAGCGAAACTGCCTGAAAAGCTGGCGAGCAGTCTCAGAGTTGGTGAGCTCTCTTGGCTGGAGAGCATCTGATCCAGAGAATGTGGTGTCTTCCGCTTTGGCCTTGGCCAGAGAAGGCAGCAGGCCCAGGGCCTGCCCCAAGTCAACAGGCATTGTCTGACTTCACGGGGCCTTTTAGGTGAGGGGCTTCCAGGACAGAACTGTCTCTGAAGAGCACTGCGTCTTCTAAGGATGCTGGAGAATGAGAGCCAATGCTGTACAACAACAACACGTGGTCAGGAACAACATATGTGTGTGACTCCTAAAAGGCCTGCAGGCTCTAACTGTTCAATGTGTATACAATTCGATTTTGAGACACTGTAAACTTGAAGCTACAAAGCTGCCCATATTTATATTTTTCATTCATCTTCAAATGTCTAGAGACTCTATAGAAGAATGGAATAGACCAGGCATGGCGGTGCGCACCTGTAATCTTAGGACTTAGGAGGGGGAGGCAAGAAGATGGAGAATTTGGAGCCAAGCTGGCCTTATAATAAGTTCAAGGTATACCTTGGCTATGTAGCAAGACTCTATTCCAAAAGAGGAAAACAAGAGGCTGGCATGATGGCTCTGCAGGTAAAGCACTTGCGGTGCAAGCTGACAAACTGAGTTTGATCCCCAGAGCCCATGGAGGAGAAAGCCACTCCCAAAAGTTGTCCTGTGACCTCCATACATGCATCGTACTATGTGCATGCGTATCCACACATACATGACAGTTTACGTTTTCAAGGAAGTACACACAGGAAATCATGTTCACTGTTTCCAAGTAAACACATACTTCTGTATCTCTGTACCTATATACTTGTAGGCTAACACATAATGCTGTTCAGGGCTGGGGAGGCAGCTCAGTGAGGAGAGTGCCAACCTAGCATGAGCAAAGTCTGAGGTTCAATCCATAGCATCTGTAAACTGGCTGAGTGACTCATGACTGCAATACCAGCACTTAGGAGGTAGAAACTAGAATCTCAGTAGTTCAAGGCCATCCTCAGTCACAATGAGTTCAAGACCAACCTGGGATACATGAGACTCTATCTCAAAATAAATATAAATCAATAAAGCTAGACAAGAGCTACAGTACCCTAGGAATCTAGGCTAATACTGAAAGGATCATATGCTCCCATAAGATGCACAGGTCTCCTCCACCATGTACTGTCTCAGCACACCACCTTATCACAGGGCTAAAACAATGGGGCCAAGAGACCACAGACCACTGTCTGCAGTTTCAACTGTAAGCCAAAATAAACCTCTCCTTCTTATAACTTGTTATCTCAGGTATTTTGTTACAGTGACACAGAGTTAGCTAACACAGCATCAGGATTTAGAAGGCAGCAAATGAAGCAGTGAAAAGGGGAACACTAAATGCCAAAGTTTAAGTGTTTTCAAAGGATCACTTACTCTAATAGCTGACTTTATTACAGGTGCTCTAACTGTGGGTCACTGGACTGACCCTTCAAATGTCATTAAAAAGGTACGAACAGCCACCATTTCTCTGTATCACTAATGGGGCGCATGCACACACACCATATACAATACATATTCATATACAATAACAACAAATTAAATTAAATTTAAAGAAGGACAAGAGGGAGGAGGACTGAAAGGAGGTGGAGAGGAAGAGAAAAGAATGGAAAGGAGGGACTAAGGGAGGAAAGGAAAGATAAGTGTAACATTCAAAATCCAACCAGAGCCATTTTTTTCAAGGGCGCAAAAAAGGACAGGTAAGAACAACTTGATGCCATATGTTTTTCATGTGGACCTCACTAAATTTATGGGTTTTATTTTTTTGTTTTTGTCGTTTTAAAGAGTCTATACATTTCATTTATATACTCAGGTAGTACTTGCAAGTGTTACAGCTCTGGAGGGAAAGGTATCCTGACTTGTCAGGAAGTTAGGCTATACCTACAGTTGTGAAGGGAGGTATCCTGGATACCTACAACTCTACAGTGAAAGGTATCCCGATTTGTCGGGAGGTCAGGCTATATCTACAACTGTGAAGGGAGGTATCCTGGGTACCTACAGCTGTGAGGAGAAAGGTATCCTCACTTGTCCGGAAGTCAGGCTATACCTGAAGCTGGGGTGCGGTGGGGGATGGTCTCCCCACAGGATATAGCAATCCTGTTCCCTTCCAAGAGAGAGCCATTAAAGCTGAGCTCTGCTCTGCCCCCCACCCCACCCCAAAGGAGCTTCCCAGCAGAAATATCCATTCCTTCTTCTGCTCTGCTCCCCTAGGGGAATGTCCCAGCAGAGGTATTCATTTCTTCTCAGCTTTAGCCCAAGATGTTACTTCTTTTTCTTCAGTGGCTAAAGGGGAAACTCCTGCAGATATGTGGCAATCTGCTATGGCTCCAGCTAAAATTTGTTACTTCTGCTCTGCCCCCAACCCCCAAGGGAGCTTCCCAGCAGAAGTATCGGTTTCTTCTGCTCTGCTATGCTCCCAAGGGAGCTTACTAGCAGAGACTCTGCTCCTCACTGGTGAAAGAAGATCTTCACCCAAAACTCTTTTAAGAAAGAGATTTACTTGGATTGCTCGTTTGTCATGCCGGGCTGCTATGAAGTTGGCAATGGGAATTGGCAAGGGTTCTTCACTAGGTACCACCCCTAATTTAGGAAACAGGAATACCAAGGCACAAGTCCCAGACCACCTAGCAGGTAAGCAGTGATATCACAGAGAATAAAGGCATTGTGAATATTTGGACATAGGGGCTGGGTGATAGTACCAAGGGTAATGGTATTATTGCAGTCTGCAGAATCCAGAATACCCACAAAGTATGTTCCTGAGGAGTTAAAGTAGTCTGTAATGCCAAAGAGAGGAATGTGAGAAACATAAGGGGCAGTAGTGACATTTGACTTGGAGCAATTAACAAGTGGTAAGGTAAGAGACTCTAACAGGACAATGGGTGAGGCCACAAATAGTGGATGACATTGTGACCCTGGAGGGACACACAACCAGCATTCTCCAAAGTGGTCAGACTAAGCATTATTCAGTAACTGATATGCAGTAGTTAGAGTCTGAAACAAGAGATGTGACAGGGAGGTGGAATCAACATCATCAAAAAAGAGTAACATTAAGGGTGTAAGAGCCTTTGAGGAGCTTTGGACCACTTCTTCTACTGTGTCTATACCTAGGAGTTGAGAGAGTGGAATGTGTACCCTAAGTATTTTGAGGATATCTGGTGGATGGGTTTGATAAATACTATAGGAAAGCTTCCCAATGACTCCCATTTCCCATCTGGGGTGCCATGAGTTCTTAGTCAGGATGTAAAAGATTCCTCGTTCTTCATAAAATGCAGAGTGTTTTCCTGAACGTGCATGATATCTTTTACAAGACCAATAAAGACAGCCTTCATAGGTTTCTGACCAGTGTCTACAGTGATCTTTAGTTTGATCATGGAAGAAGCAAGAATAGGGGACAGGTGTTCTAGCATCTGACTTTGGTGTTGTAGGGATAAGTATCTCTTTTTGACAACCTGTGGATGAGCAATCTCCAGACTCTACTACATGAGTGGTCTGGTTGAGCTTCTGGGCATATGTCTCCTGAATCTCAAATCTCCATATTTAGAGTTTGATACCAATATGGGTGAGTGGGAAGAAGTATAAGAAGAAGTAGGGCATGACCCAATAGGGTGTGGCTTGAGTCTTGACAGGATTGTGAGGTCTCTTTATTCTGAGACCAGAGGCAGGCTGGTAGTCTGTATATAGTTTTAGGGATTGTCCCTTTGCTAATTGACAGGCACGAGTAAGAGCTATTAATTCAGCCTGCTGATTCGTGATGTGAGCTGGAAGGTTTGGACCACTATGGTGTCTGAAACAACAGCATATCCTACTTCATGTACTCCTTCATATAGGAAGGCACTGCCATCTGTATAGCATGTATAAGTGGCCTGAGGTAGTGTTCCTTCCTATATATGTATAAGATAAGGGAATAACTCTTCTAGGGTCTTGATGCATGAGTGTGATGGGCAGTATGCCAGAACTTGTTGGGGGAGAAGATTTGAAATGTTAAGAGGTGGACATGGTTGAAAAGTCCGTGTTGCATCCTCTACCAATGCTACCTGAAGGGAGAGAACTCGGGAGGGAAATAATGTTAGAAGGCCCTTGTAAGTTAAAAGGTATGACAGGTGGTGAGGAGAAAGAACAGTGATGGGTGACCCAAAGGTTAACTTCATAACAGGCAGCCCTGTGGAGACCAGCTAGGAGGCAAGTTATAAATCTATTCCTAGCTAGGATGTCTCCTGGGGTATTGTAATCCCATTCAGGCTCTTGATCAGGGACTGTCCTAACCCCTACTGGGTGGGTATTATCCATTTGATGGAGTTCATCGGCATAGGCCCTAGCCTGATCCCAGCTTCGCCTACGCTCTTCTAGGAGGAGACTGTTGGTAAGGAAAGGTATGGTCACAGGATTAGGTAATGTACCTAAGAACTGGCAGTATAGGACCCTAATCTTTTTCTACTTGGGAGAGCTCATAATAATAAGAAGGGAACATTTACCCTGACTAAACCATCCACCCCGGGCAACCTCTCGCAAAGGGAGAACTGGGGCTGGTTTAGATCGGGGAGGGACAGGAGGCCCCAAGGTAGAGTGGGAATGAGTAGCGGGAGGACTAGGGGCTGTTAGTGAATTGAAAGTGGGTACCAGGGAGAGTTGACCTGGTGGACAACCTGTCACTGAGGGGGGAGGAAGGGAAACTGAAGGGACCAGAGAAGAGGGAGCTGTGGGGTTTGGTTTATAAGGGGGAGGCTCATTGCTCATTAGCTGGATCAAAGGAAATAGATTCATCTTGTTCTGACTTCATAACTAGCAGGAGCTGGGTGGGGGGAACAGGAGGCACAGAAAGAAGGCTTGGAACGAAGGTAAGAGAAAACTTTAACATAGAAGAAGTTCTCTTTCCATTTCCTTGATTGCTCACAGTAGTTGCAAAGATCCCGAATAATATTGGGATCTAGTGGGCCATTATGAGACCATTTAGATTGGTTATCTAAGGGATATTGAGGACAAACTTTATTGCAAAGGTGAACAAGTTTAGGGCCTTTCAAATCAGGCGCCAAGTATAAAGACTTGAGATTTTCTAGGAGGCATCCCAAAGGGGGATGGGAGAGTACAGAGTGCAGAGTTCCCATGGATGAGAGGGAGGGAAAAGGTCACTGCAGCCTGTAGTTGCCGGTGTCCCCTGGACTCAGGGAGGACTCAGGGTCCAAGATGGTTTAGAGGGTCATCACCCAACTCAACAGGGGTCCAGTGTAGCAAGCTTAGCCTTGCTAAGCTAGTGGAGAGACTCGGGTGCCTGGTACCAGGGCTTCTGTAGAAGCGAGAAGGCGAGAGAAAACCAAGCTCTAGGAGGAGGGACTCATCCAGAGAAAAGGGAGACTTTTGTGGCTCCTTTTGTGGGAAAACAAGGGAAGACAGGAAGGGATGCTAATACTTAAAACTGCCTGATTGCAGTTCTAAGGGTGGAGGAGTGGAGTCAGGTGAAGAGAGCCTGTCGTAGCCTTAAACACTGTACCTAGGAGTAACTCCGCTTCCAAGAGTACTAGAGAGGTACCGGACACGCAACAGTCACTTCCTCAGACCCAGGGAAATGTTCACATCGTCCAAAGGGGGAACTCACCTAATTGTCGCTATTTGATGGAACACTGAAAGATTGGTGAGCTGGAAGTTGGGTCCACTGCAGATAGACTGGAGATGAGGGATAGAGTCATAGTGTGGCTCAGACCACAAGGGGAGAGCATAGGCACCAAGAGAGTCTGTCCCAGGTTTCAGCACCAAAATATAGGCGAATATTGCAACTCTGGAGTGAAAGGTATCCTGACTGCTCGAGAGAGTCAGGCAATACCTGGAGCTGCTAGGACAGCTCAGCTCTGGAGGGAAAGGCATCCTGATTGTTCAGGAATCAGGCTATAACTGGTGTGGTGAGGTATAGTCTCCCCGAAGGAGGTAGCAATCCTGCTCCTCTCCTGGAGAGCCACTACAGCTGAACTTTGCTCAGCCCCCACTTAAGGGGGCTTCCCAACAGAGCTCTGGTTCTTCTCCAGCCCAGATGTTGCTAAAGTGGAAACCCCTGCAGAAATGTAGCAATCTCCTCCAACTCCCGAGAAAAGTTGTTACTTTTTCTGCTCCACCTTGCTCAGTCCCCTAAGGGAGGTCTCAGCAAGGTTCTTCTGTTCAGCTCCCCCTTGCTCAGTCTCCTAAAGGACTCTCAGCAAGGTTCTTCTGTTCAGCTCCCCCTTGCTCAGTCTCCTAAAGGACTCTCAGCAAGATTCTTCTGTTCAGTTCCCCCTTGCTCAGCCTCCTAAGGGATGTCTCTGCAAGGATTTTTCTGCTCAGTCCACTAAGGGATGGCTTAGCAAGGTTCTTCTTCTCTGCACCTGTGAATGAAGATCTTCACACCCAAAACTCTTTTGAGAAAGATTTATTTGTGAAGGAGTTCAGGTAAGTGGCTACCTCTACCAGGGTTGGAAAGAACAGCCCCCAACTGAACAGGCAGGGTGGTTTATACAGGATCTCTTGGGGGCAGAGTTTCCTCAGGGAGAAGATTTTCTGTCCAGGGATTGGTTAGTTTTTTCTGCTCAGGAATTGGTTAGTTTTGTGAGTTAGGGGCAGAGATGGCCCTGATTTTAGAACCAAACTGGCCTTTCTTAGCCTTTGAGCTCTTAAGTCTAAGGCCAGGGCATATTTCTTTCACTGGCTCTGATTCTAGGGACAAAGAGTGTTTCTTTGGCACTGGTCTCAGAGTCAGGGCATGTTTCTTTGGTTCTGGGTTCAGGGATAAAGTGTTTCTTTTTCTGGCTCAGGTCCCAGATCCAAGGTGTGTTTCTTTCCCTGGTTCTGGGCTTCAGGGTCAGGGTGCTTGATTTCCTGCTCTGTGATTAGTTGGTTTTACTGGTCAGTTGATTCAGGGGCAGAGATGGCCCTGATTTTAGAACCAAACTGTGTTTCTTTCACTGGCCTTTCTTAGCTTTTTAGCTCTAAGTCTAAGGCCAGAGCATATTTCTTTCACTGGCTCTGAATCTAGGGACAAAGAGTGTTTCTTTGGCACTGGTCTCAGAATCAGGGCATGTTTACTTGGTTCTGGGTTCAGGGATAAAGGGTTTCTTTCTCTGGCTCAGGTCCCAGATGTAGGCTGTGTCTGTCACTGGTTCTGGGCTGCAGGGTCAGGGTGGGTTTCTTTAGCCAGCCCCTTTTCCCTACAGGAAGGAGGAATCCAGGAGAGTGGCTGCCTCTGCCAGGGTGGAGAAGGACAGCCCCTAACTGAACAGGCAGAGGGGCTTATACAGGGCTTCTTAAGGGTGGAGTTTTTCCCAGGGAGATTTTCTGCTCAGGGATTGGTTGGTTTAGTTGGTCAGGGGCCAACTAAAGTTGGCTCTGGTTTCAGGGCCAAAGTGTGTTTCTTTCACTGGCTCTGGTTTCAGGGCCAGGGTGTGTTTCTTTCACTGGCTCTGGTTTCTGGGCCAGGGTGTGTTTCTTTCACTAGCTCTGGTTTCAGGGCCAGGGTGGGTTTATTTGGCTGGCCCTTTAACCCTTACAGTACTCAGTGGCACTGAAGTAAAAAATACATATTTGGGGAATTCCATTTCTGGCCCTGGCAAAATAAGTGATAATATAGACTAGTTAGACAACTAAACAGCTCCCAAGCTAGAGATAGCATGTAAGACAGGCAGTTAGTTTTAAGCACTTCACACAGCGGTTGAGAATGCAGTCCTGAGAGAAATTGCTGAGGTAAGCCCAAGACCATAGGGGCTGGTTATGTGAGGACAAGTCTGCAGCCACAGAGGAGGGAGCTCAAGTTCAAGTGGTGCACAATGGTCTCAAAGCTGAGGCAACAAGAACAGAACTGAAAGCCATTGGAGTGACTGGACTCTGAAGAACAAGGCAGGGAGGGACTTTGGGGATGGGGGTTGGGGACAGATGTCTATATGGGGTGTCCCCCTCGGCCCTGGTGTAGGCTTGAGACTGCCAATCACCAGGATAAAACACCAAGGTTTAACAAAGAGTAGAACACACACAAAGGGCCAGTCAGGAATGAGGCCCTGAATTTTTAATCATGCAGGCTGAAAAGACATCTAAAGACAGGAGGAAGGCCATGTGTTAGGAGTGACAAGGACAGAGTCCAGTAAGGCCCACTTTCACCTGCCCTAACAAAACTTAAAAGCAAGTTGCTACCAGATCCACAGGCAGTAGTTTCATTTCATCAACTTGGAAAGCTGTGGGGAAGCAAAGATTTGCTCCACCAAAGCATAAAGCCTAGAGTAAATACACTGCCTGCTCCAACAAACAGCAACATCTCTCAAAAGAAAACTGATCCTCAGAATCACTAATACATGCTCCAAAAGAGCCACATAAAAGAATGTAGATTAAAAGCTATAAGTTAATTTAAGTTAGAAAAGCTAGCTAGAAACAAGCCTAAGCTATTGGCTAAGCTTTCATAATTAATAAGTCTCCTGTGGTTATTTGGGAGTTGACTGGTGTAACAGAGAAAGACTTGCAACAACAAAAAACAAACAAACAAACAAACAAAAAAATCTAGTCTCTTTAAAATATTCAGTCTCCTTTAAAATCCAAAGTCTTCATAAAAACTTCAAAATCTCAAGCTGAATGGTGGTGCCTTTAATTCCAGCACTCAGGAGGCAGAGGGAGGTGGATCTCTGTGAGCTCGAGTCCAGTCTGGTCTACAGAGCGAGTTCCAGGACAGCCAGGACTACTCAAAGAAACACTGTCTCGATAATCATCATCATCATCATCATCATCATCCAAAATTGCTTAAAAGTTCAAAGCCTCTCAACTATGGGCTCCTGTAAAATCGAGTAGCCTCTCCAAGACTCTCTTCATGGTGCCAAGCCTCAACTTCTCTCCATGACCCCTTCAATTCTGGGGCTTCAAGGGCTACTGGAGCTGCACCTTCTCCAAGGGCCTATCCAGGCCTCTCACAGTGCCAAACCTCAGCTGCTTTTCCTGACCCCTTCATGCCTTCAAAATCAGCACTACGTGGATGATTCTTAGCACTACCAAGTTCAGCTGCCAGCACAAGACAGAAGCCTGGCCACCTCTGAACACAGCTTCTGTGTGCTGACCCTGAGAAAACACTTCCCCAGAATATTGCACATCAGTGATACTGGTCTCTTCTTAACCACCACTAATTTATTAGCTATAGCTGACCAGCATCAATTGTCCAAGAAAAGCAAAGGTTTTACTTTAGGGCAGTGGTTCTCAACCTTCCTAATGCTAATACCCTTGAATACAGTTCCTCATGTTGTGGTGACCCCCCAACCATAAAATTATTTTTGTTGCTACTTCATAGCTGTATTTTTACTACTGTTATAAATCGGAAGTATCCAATACGCAAGATATCTGATAGCAACCCCTGTGAAAGGGTTATTCGACCCTGGGGTCGCGACCCACAGGTTATGAATCACTGCTTTAGTGGTTCTGGTCTCTTTTTAACCACAGCTGATGCTTCAGCCCCAGGTAACCAGAACCACAGATTTTTAACTGAAAATATGCAACAGACTTGATACAGTCTTTAACTTACTCTCAAACTTCCCTCTAGGACTTTACCGGCTAAGCCTCTATCATATGCATTTTTCTCAAAACTCTTATGTTCCAAGCTCGCACAGAACAACTCACCAAGCTTTGAACACTCCATGGCTTTTCTAGCCCAAAGTTCCAAAGTCTTTCCATAATCCTCCCAAAGCAACATGGTCAGGTCTGTCATAGCAATACCTCGCTATGCTGGTATCAATTTCTGTCCTAATTAGAGTTACTATCGCTATGATGAAACACCACAACCAAAGAAAAGTTGGGGAGAAAATTGTTTATTTGGCTTACACTTCCACATCATATTCCATCACTGAAGGAAGTCAGAACAGGAACTTAAGCAGAATTGGAACCTGGAACAGGAGCTGATGCAGTGGCCATGGAGGGGTGCTGCTTACTGGCTTGCTCCTCCTAGCTTACTCAGCCTGCTTTCTTATAGAACCCAGGACCCCCAGCCCAGGGATGACCCCACCCAAAATGGGCTGGGCCCTTCCTGGTCAATCACTAATTAAGAAAATGCCCTACAGCCAGATCTTATGGAGGCATTTTTTCAGCTGAGGTTCCCTCCTTTCAGATGACTCAAGCTTGTGTCAACTTGACATAAAACCAGCCAGCACACAGTACAATTAAATTAGAAATCAACACCAATAAGGGAACTTGAAATTCTAATTTGTAGAAATTAATAATTAGTAGTCAAAAGACATCACAATGGAAATTAAAAGATATTTTCACACAAAATGATCATGAAATCACAGTAAACCAAACTTTCTGAGCTTAGAGTAGTGGTTCTCAACAGTAGCAAAATTACAATTATGAATTAGCACCAAAGTAATTTTATGGTTGGGGGTCACCACAACGTGAGGACCTGTATTAAAGGGTCGTGCAGCATTAGGAAAGTTGAGAACCACTAGGTTAGAGGGAAAACTTAGAAAGAAGTCTGTTTTAGAAGTGAATATCTATACAAAAAATCCTTCGCTATCTAAATGAACTTATTTCCTGGGTTTTACAAAAATAGCAGAATTTCACTTGGCAAAATTTCCACCTATAACCTTAGTCACACTTAGTTCTTGAAACTATTTTGGAGAACATTCAGAAAACGTTAGCACTAAATCTTACGTATTTAAATCTTACGCAACTAATACTACTTGCTCCGTGCAGTAAAGGCCAACTGCTAGCTACCCCCAAGCATTTATGGCAAGACGTCCATTTACTCAAAATTAAATTACTTTATAGAGAGACTTATGGGGTTTTACCCAAATGAGGATTTAATTCTCTTCACAGAAGGAACTCAACGATCATCAGTTATTACTGACGCTTTTACAAATCGAAATGAAATGCGCGTCTAGGTCAGCATTCTCTTATACACAAGCAAGTTACACGCACGTAGGTAGCTTTGTTTATCAGCTCACTGTAGGCTCTGCTCGTGCTATAAGTGACCTTCCTGATCGCCCCGTACGGTAAGTATTAAAAGTTTACAGATCTGGTTCCTCCATGGCTCCCAAGCAACAGCAGAGTAAGCCCAGGAAGCACTAGGGCAGACTTTCGGGCATTTGCGGGGTGCGTCTGGAGTTGTCACTGAGGGCCGGGTAACTAGCGGCTGGCCACCCAGCCTTGCAACCTGAGCCCCGAGCCTCACCGTCCGAACCCCTCTCCTGGGGCGGGCAACCCGGAAGAGCACACTTTCCGTTCCGCCCCAGTCCCCTCCCCCGCACGCGCCTGTTGGCAGCGAGCGCTACCGGAGGGGGGGCGAGACCGCTGTCTCCGCCGCAGCTCGCTCCCGACAGTTAGCGAGCTGGAGCGACAGCAGGCTTGACCCCAGGCGTCGGCGACTCCACCCGCCGGCCCAACTCAGCCGCTTACCTCTGCCCGAGCCACCCGTTCTGGAGCACTTCCGGAAGCTGGACAGCTGCGCGCCTCCGCGGCCCTGGTGACGCGCGGCGCCGGGGCGGAGCAAGGGGCGGGGCGTGTGAGGGGCGTCCAGAGGCCGGCTTTCCCATTGGCTCCCGAGAAGCGCCGCCGCTCATCACAGCCTGGGGCCTGTGCCTCCCCCAGCTAGGGCTGCGAGCGGGTGGTTCCGACCACTAAACGTCCCGGCCGGACCTCCATTCTAACCCACATAGCGGCCACAGCCTTTTCGTCCATTTTCTGGCCGACCTGCGCTGGGCCACGGCTGTCACCTCGTGACACTAAAGCGGGTTGACTGAGCCTCCCGTCCAAATCCGGGAGTTCAGTTATTGAGTAGCTGATGTACTAGACAGCAACGGTATAGAGAAGTGTCCTCTCCCTGACCCATGGTTAGAAGAGTTGACATCTCCCAAGAAACAAGGCGGGGGCGAGGGGAGCATGGTATGTTCACACGCTTGAAAAACTGAGCGTGTTCTCAGAGCCCTTGGCGCTGAAAGGATCGTAGTTAGTGAGAAAGCATTTCACAACGCTGGTTAAAGCAATCATTAATTCAGACGTCAAGAGACATGAGCAGTTGACAGGTTACCAGCCTGGCCGAGGCGGAAGTGTCTGTCACAGTTCTTGAGGACAGTTGGACTGACTGATCAGACGTTTAGGGGTTATTTATTTATTTATTTATTTATTTATTTATTTATTCCGAGGAACTTCGCTTCCAAGATCGGGTAGCTTGGTCGGGACCTTGATAAGGTTCCTGTTAAACGCGTTGGGCTTTGGTTGAACAATATTCAAGGAAGATCAGAGTAACTCAAAACTTTGAATTGCGCAAGGCACCTATGAAAATCTGATGGGAGCTGAGGCTTTTTCCCACGGGAAACATTTTGTTCTGAAATTCAGGGAGCGAAGAGAGGCAGCCTTGGAGTCCACAAACCTCAAGTTGACAGTTCTAATAAAAATATCCTCTTAGCAATTTAATTTTTTAAGCTGGCAATTAGGAAGAGGCATGGCACTTTTGAACAGACCAACCAAAATACGTTTTAAGAATAAAAAGGTATTTAACTTAGCTGAGGAAGTAATAGAAGAATACCATCCATTTTCATTTACTTCATAAATTTTTCCCAGCTTCCTCATCTGTGCCCAATGCTATACCATTAGCTAAGGATATAGCAGAGAACTATACATGCAATGCTCTGGCATTTACAAGACTATTATAGCAGCGAACTATACATGCAATGCTCTGGCATTTACAAGACTATTTTGTGAAGAAAGCTGAACAATGAATAAATAAATGCACAGGTAATAAGAAGGTAGAGTAATGATAAGTGGAGAAAATTAATTAGGTAAGATAATGGTATTAGAGTTGGGTTGCTGCAATTTATGTAGGATGATTAGGGAAGGATTAACAGATAAAACAATCTTGAATTCAGACCCGAAGTTAAGGAGCAAGTCTTGTGTGCAGGGGAAGTTTTCCAGGCATAGGAAATAACAAATGTCTAAGCCCTGAGACAATGAGTGAAAATAAAGAGGTATGAGGTCTGAGCCCTGGACCACACCAACAAATAGTTCCTACAAATGAGCATTTGCCAAGGGAGAAGGGGAGTACTACTAGGAGATAGAGTGCATTTCTAGTATGCAGGCAATCTGGCTTCCCTGGGACCAAATATAATGGATTCAGTTGGCTCTTGTGTTGAGCGGACTTGGGAAACATTATGATGAAAGGGGAGATCCTTCTCATGGAACAAGTGAGTTCAAGGCCAGCCTCGGCTACATGGGATCCTGTCTCAAAAACAAAACAACAATATTTTTACTTGTTCTGAACCTATTGAGACAGAGAAGTTGACATTTTTTTAATTCAACAGGTTTGTTAATTATATAACTTGGTTTTAACTAAACCCTAGTAAAATGCACATCTAATTCAAAAAGTTCTCTGTATAGTAATGTCAGTTTAATGATGTGAGTTATAATACATGTAAACATGGCAGAACTACATTTTCTATTTTGTTGTTGTAGCCCAGGATAGTCTTGAACTCACTTCTGACTCCCCTGCCTCTACTTCCAACCGATAGGATTACAGTTTTGTGCAGTACTGAAGCTGGAATGCAGAATATTGATTGATTAATTAATTTATATATTTAAATAATTTAACTAATTTATTTATGTATCGTGTGTACCTGTGTGGTGATAATTTGTGTATGCTCTAACAAATAAAGCTTGCCTGAAGATCAGAGGGCAAAGCCAGCCACTAGTTAGCCATAGAGGCCAGGTAGTGGTGGCACACACCTTTAATCCCAGCACTTGGGGTCTCATGCCTTTGCTCCCAGTAATTGGGAGGCACACACGCCTTTAATCCTAGCACTAGAGAGGTTGAAACAGGAAGTAATATGGCTGGGCGGAGGGGGCATATAAGGTGGAAGGAGACTAGAACTCAATCCTTTATTGAGGAGTTGGTGAGGTGAGGGGTGGCTGTGGCTTGTTCCTTTGTCTCTGATCTTCCAGCATTTACCCTGATATCTGGCTCTGGGTTTTTATTAAGACCAATTACAATTGGTGCTACATACCTGTGCTAACAAAGTCTTTGTGTATGGAGGTCAGAAGGCAACTTTAGGGAGTCAGTTCTCTCCACCCATCATGTAGTTCCCAGGATCAAACTCAGGCATCTTTACCCACTGAGTGGCCAGCTTGCAGCCTAGGATTTAGTACATGTTTAGTTAAGCACTCTACCAATGGAGCTCTATCCCCAGACCCTGAAGTACATCTATAATCAAGTCCTTTACACATATAGTAGAATCAATGGCAACGCTAACTGAATCAGATATGAACAAGAAGCCAGCAAAATATGTACATGATGCATAAGTGTGTGTATATATAGATAAACATACAAATTATATAGTTGTTATACATACAGATAGTCTATGTAAAGTATATGTAAAGATCATATGTATGCATATTGTGGTGCATGTATATAGGTGTATAGCTCTAGAACATGAAAAAAAAACCCTTTTTAGCAGTTAGCAGTCATACAGCACTCTATCAAGTACTTTATGAAACGTTATTAAATCTAATGAAAAGTGTTTGGCAGCCTCTATTTGAGTCCTAATGGGCAAGAATCAACATATAAAATATTCCACCAGAAAAATTTTAGTGCTTTTCATTGGGAGACTATTGGTTAAAATTATTAAAAATGAAAACTACATGATGATACAAAAGCTACTGACTCACAAGTGAGACTATGGAAATTAATGGCCACAGATGATATTAAAAAATAAATATGTGGCCAATAATGTAATTTATCCATTTGGAGTTTTTGTGAGGTGTGTTTTGGCTTTTTACTTTTCAATGGTTAAAACTATGAAAAATAAACTTAGAAAGAGACCTTAAAAGTCTCCATATCTCAGAAGAGTAAAACAGTATTTGTTCAAATTCAGTGTCCATTGCATTTTAATGAGAACTTTATTTAATAAGTAACAAGTATTTTCAAGTATTCTTTTTCTTTTTTACCTCTTCCCCACCTTTTTTGCATATTTCATTGTATATATAAGCACAGGAGACAAGATAATGAATAGTTTAGCTTCAGAATATTTTAACGGATTGAATGTGCTTGAACAAAAGGTACAGAGGCCTGTTCTAACGCCATTCTGGCCATGCATCATACAGTAGGAGCAGGTTAAAACCACATCATTTATGCCTCCCTCCAAACTGGAGTCTCTCAGAGGCAGAGCCTGCAACTGGATGTTTTAATGCAGCTCTGTGGCCACTGATCTGAGGGACAATACCACAGTTTTAGCCCATCCATGGGAGCTGGAGAGATGGCTCAGTGGTAAAGAACACATACTGCTCTTGCAGAATGCCAGAGTTCATGTCCTAGCATCAATGTTGGGTGGCTCCCAAGGGCCTGTGACTCCAGCTCAGGGGATCTGATACTTCTGTGCTCTAAGGGCACCCTCAAAGGCATGCACAAACACAAATGCACACACTTGTACACACACACACACACACACACACATTAAAACTATTACCTCAATCTTCAAAAGACAGATATGATTATTTGCAGTGTTAGTGAGTGTTCTGGTAATGTAATAAATACCCAAGGCAATCAACTTACAAAAGAAAGAAATATTTGGTTTATAATTTGGTTGGTTTTAGTCCATAGTGGTTTGGCCTTGTAGCTTTGGAGCCTGTGACAAGTTAGCACATCATGACAGAGTGTGTAGAGAATAAAACCCCTACTTATGCAAGGAAACAAAAGAAAGGTGTGGTCAGGGTCCACTATTCTCAAAATCATTCCCTCTGGGGGCCTGGATAAATGGCTTAGTGGTTAAGAGAACTCACTGCTCTTCCAGAGGACTGATGTTCAATTCCCACCAATCTATGGTGGCTCACAAAGGAAGGTAACTCTGGTTCTAGAGGATCCACTGTCCTCTTCTGACCCCCGAGGGCACCAAGCATGCACATAGTATACAGATATACATACAGAAAAAAAACACTCATACACATACATCTAAAACAATTTTTTAACCAAAATCATGTCCCCAATGATTCCAAGACCCTCCACCCATAATACCACCATTTCTTTTGTTTGTCTTTTTAAATAGACTTTTACCCACTTTGGCCTAGAATTCATAGCCATCCTCTTGCTTAAGCCCCACATTACAATGGTGTAACACTCAGCTATCTTGATTGGTTCCATGCTTTTATCAGTAACATGAGAACTAACCAATCATCTTCCTCTCACGATTAT